TTGTTTTAATTCCCTGAAGGGATGGAGGAGTATGGATTTGGACCAGATGCCTGCTTCATCCTTGAGAAAGCACTCTATGGATTGGCTGAATCACCTCGCCTGTGGTATGACCTGTTTGTTATGAGGATGGAAGACTATGGCTTTGAGCTGGTTCCTGGAATTGACTGTCTGATGGTGAACATGGATCTCCACCTGCTCATGATATTCTATGTGGATGATATCAGGTTGATTTATGAGAGGGACAGGGAGGATCAAGCCATCCTGTTCAACCAGTACCTGCTTTCTAACTTTGAGGTTACTCAGAAAGAGCCATCCTTCTTTCTGGGCACAGAAGTCCTGGAATCACCAGACCAGGAAACCCTGACTATGTGCCAGTCTGCCTACCTAACAAAGATTGGTATCAAATTTGGTGTTCATGAGAGGACTCGATTCCTAGATACACCACTTCCTACTGGAAACCTGGAACCTGCTACTGATACAGCTAGGCCTGACTTCATCAAAGGATATCAGATGAAGGTTGGTTCAATTGGTTATGCAGCTGTTTTGGCAAGGCCGGATGTGGCAAAGGCACATGCTACTCTTTCTCAATTTCTGAAGAATCCAAGCCAAGCTTATATGGAAGCTGCCAATCACCTGATTGCCTACCTCTATAGTACTAAGGACATGAAGTTGCACTTCTATAGGGACAAGCCCAAGATGGAGCTGTATGTGGATGCTTCATTTGGTGACAACCCGGACAGGAAGAGTTCACAGGGATTCTTGATGATGATGTATGGTGGTGCTATTGATTGGCAAGCAACCAAGCAGAAGACAGTCACTAAGTCAACCGCAGAGGCAGAGTTGCTAGCACTCTCATCAATTGCAGGTAATAGGTACTGGTGGACTCGACTTTTCTCTGAATTTGACAAGGTATTTCCACCTCCACCTGGAAATAAGCCATCTGGGGAGCCTGTCAAGGATGGAACCATGGGTGGAACCAAGGTTTTCTGTGACAACCAACGAGCAGTGGATATCGCCAATCACAAGCATGGTTCACTCAATACGGCTTTGAGACATATGGATATCCATCAACACTGGGTAAGGCAGGAAACCATGGCAGGACGATTGACCGTGGAATGGATTGGGACTGCCAAGCAACGAGCTGATGGCTTTACAAAGAACCTCCCAAAGGGGTCATTCCAGTCATTCCGGACGAGCCTGGGGCTCAGGTAAGTGGGCATGGTCGATCATTGGATTGAGATGGACGGTCACCATGTCTGGTATTTCAGCTTTTCTTATGTAATCAAGCTGAGGGAGGTGTGTTTGGACAAAAGGACATGGGTGCCCTGGCATCATGCGATATGAGTCATATGGATAACAGGGGCCACTGATTCCTTGGCGTTTGTATGTAGAGTTGGGGATACCCACCCCCCTCCTTTCTTTTCTTGAGAGGTCAGACCTCGGACCTCAATTAATCCACTTATTGATTGGTATTCCATCAATCTTCTCAATTGGGCACTAGTGTGGTGTGTGGTTCCAACACTCCAGGTCTTCGAATTGAGTGGACACTTCCCTGCGAACCTTCTCCACGGCCTGTTGAGCTGCGGCACTGCTCTTGTCGATTGCCACTTCAGTGAGAGCCTGGACGTCCTGTGCCGCGGTGGCGAGTCCCTCGATCCTACTGATAGCGGCCTCGAGTTTCTGCATGCGGTCGAGGAGGAACCCATGCTCTCGCTTCATCTGATGCGCCCAGAGAAGTGCAGTCGGGTCGGAGGGCGGCTGAATTTTGGGCGCCATGTTGGCGACCTTTTATCGGATGCTTTTGATCGTCGTCCTGTGAAGATGAGCGGCGATGAGGGTGGGTTACAGAGAGGCGGGATCAACACACGCCCGGTAAGTAGGAATAAGTTATCGTGTCGTATTTTCCGCTTGATAGCAGTCAATCGCGTGGACAGGTGAAGTTCGTGATTACGAAAATTCTCGCTCCACAGAAACACCACCACTGTTGAGGCAGGAGCGCAGCTCACGCGAGGAAAGCACGCAACACAGGACAGAACGACGGATTGGGGGATTCAGTTTTACTGCTTCATGGTATACGCAGCTCTATTCTACGCACGAGGTCGCAATGCAGCCTCAGTAAAAACAGCTTCAGTGCAAGCAGAACACCATGATCCGAACCGAGAAACATCAAACGCAATTTTTTCCGCAAAGCATCATCGCAAACTCCTTCTTGATGACCGTGATGCGTATCTTCATCTCTCGCCATTAGCACCGTCAGTGAGCAATCGTGATAAAGTGCGCTCTGTCTGCGTTCCAGCGGCAGATGCTGTTCAGGTATCTTTCGTGTGGGTGGGTGCCTCCGCGGCTCGACACAAGTGGTCCCTCAGACCAATAATGCGCTGAAAGACTCAGTCGAACGTCAAAGGCGTGGGTGGGTATGAGTAAGGTGTGGTACTTAGATAAGATCTGGGACGTCGTTAGTAAATACAAGGATGGTGGTTTATTTTTCAGAAAAAACTTACCGGCCACGTTCATTGGCATCTCCTCAATCTGGGTGCTGTAGAACTGCTCGATCTCACGCATCATACGGACGTCGTCGGCGGTAACGAAGTTGATGGCAACACCCTTACGTCCGAAACGACCACCACGACCGATGCGGTGAATGTAGTTCTCGCGGTTGGCTGGCAAGTCGTAGTTGATGACCAGGGAAACCTGCTGGACATCAATACCACGAGCGAGCAGGTCGGTGGCGATGAGAACACGGGAAGAACCAGAGCGGAACTCCTTCATGATGACATCACGCTGCGTCTGGTCCATGTCTCCGTGCATTGCAGACACCGTGAAGTCACGAGCAGTGAGCTTGTCGGTGAGCCAGTCAACCTTTCTGCGGGTGTTGCAGAAGATGACAGCCTGGGTGATGGTAACCGTCTCGTATAAATCGGACAGGGTGTCGAGCTTCCAGTCCTCCTTCTCGACAGCAATGTAGAACTGCTTGATACCTTCGAGGGTGAGTTCGTCCTTCTTGACAAGGATGCGGACTGGGTCGCGCATGAACTTAGTAGTGACCTCGAGAACGTCCTGTGGCATAGTGGCAGACAGGAGAACGACCTGGGTGGACTGTGGGAGAAGCTGGAAGATGTCGTAGATCTGCTCAGTGAAACCGCGAGACAACATCTCATCGGCCTCGTCGAGCACGAACATCTTCATGCTGTCGGTGCGGAGAACGCGGCGCTGGATCATGTCGTGCACACGGCCTGGAGTACCGACCACGACCTGTGGGCCGTCCTGAAGAGCCTTCATGTCATCTCTTACGGAGGTACCGCCGATACAGGCGTGACACTCGATCTGCATGAAGTCGCCGATGGCGACGACAACCTTCTGGATCTGCTGAGCCAACTCACGAGTTGGGGCAAGAATCAAAGCCTGGCAAGCCTTGATGTTGGGGTCGATCTTCTGAAGGACGGAGATGGAGAAAGTGGCAGTCTTGCCGGTACCGGACTGGGCTTGAGCGATAACATCGTTACCTGCATCGAGTCAGTTGAAGTGAAAATATGAGTGCGGTGGTCATGAGTACGCACCCTTGATGACCGGCATGATAGCGCGCTGCTGAATAGCAGATGGGCGCTCGAAACCATAAGCGTAGACTCCACGGAGGAGCTCGCTCTTGAGGTTCATGGCATCGAAGCTGTCCGTGGTCTCGTCATAGTTGGACTCGATCTGACCTGTGAAGCGTCAACTGTTAGCAGTTGCTCTTTGTGTGCGACTTCGACTACGATTGTCCTGCCGCCCGCACTTTTCCGCACCGCATTTTTATGTCATTTCTGCCGCGGTCCGCCAAACGTCCTGCCGGCCATGTACGCACGCCGCTGTCGTGGACTTACCAGCATCGATATCCTCAAGTCCCTTATCAGCCATGATTGCGATTCGGAACAGATGCTCACTGCGCTGCGCAAGTGAGCTGGAAAAGTTCGGTGAGAGGGTGGGGCGGGGATCCTCAAGGATGCCGCGGCGGTGTCGCTGAAGTTGTTTTGGGGCGACTAGAGACCTGACTGTCGGTAATGACAGTCGTCGGGTTCTAGTGGTGAGGTGTGAGGGTGGTGGTGGTGAGTTGTGGTGGTTGTTGTTGGGGGAAAACTTGTCAAAGATTTCAGGTTGCTGTGAAAGCCGCACCTGGCTTCTGAATTTTGAAATGTCTGTGCTTTCTTTCCGCTGCGGGTGACATAAACCCACTTTTCGCAGCTGGCTCAAACCACACTTCGCCACTCGCCGAATTTTTTGTGACCAATCATCATGACTGCATCACAGCACTTTGACAGCAGCAAAAGCGACAGCCATGGCAATGGTTATGGAAACCCAGCGTGGGAGTCATCAGAGACGAGACCGGTCAAGAAACAGAAGCAGCAGGATGTTCGAGAAGAGGGCGCAGCATTTGTTCGACGCCATCCCCTTGGTGTACGTCCCAGCGGCAATGCTCTCACTTCCAACGTCAACCTGAAATACGCTGCTGGAAACTTCGCTCTGCTACCAGACGAGCTACTTGCTTCTCTTCTCGAGACTCTGAGGCCTCGAGATCTTCTCAAGCTGGGCGGCACATGTCGCGCTTTGCATGCGTTCACCAGGAACGAAGAATTGTGGCGTACACTATTCGTTGAGTAAGTCGTAGAGTCATCCGCGGACTCGGCATGCGCTGAGTAGAATGGGTAGGTCATCTCCTAAGCAGTTCGAGTGGCAAGGCACTTGGCGTTCCACGTATTTGTCACAAGATGTGAGCAGAGAGCCACAAGTAGACTGCACAAATCTCTTCTCTGATGTCCTGCATCGGCCTTTCTTTTGTGCCAATGTTCCATTACATCCATATGCCGAGAATATACCAAAGCAGAACCAGATCACCAGACTGAAGGACCTGTCGCATGAAGAGTTTGCCAAGAATTGGTATGGCCAACCATTCATACTGACAGAACCGGTCAGACAGTGGCCTGTATACAAATCATGGTCAACGGAACGGCTTGTCGAACAATATGCCGATTTGCCTTTCCGCGCCGAAGCGGTAGACTGGCCGCTGAAGACGTACGTCGGCTACATGAACAACAGTCGAGATGAGTCACCTCTATACCTCTTCGACCGTGCTTTCGCGCAGAAGATGAATCTCGAAGTTTCGAGCGAGCCTACTGCGACCGCAGACTACTGGGAGCCTACCTGTTTCGGACCTGATCTATTCCATCTGCTTGGCAAGCAGCGGCCTGATCACCGCTGGCTCATAGTGGGACCCGACCGCAGCGGGAGCACGTTCCATAAAGATCCAAATGCTACATCTGCCTGGAACGCTGTATTGAAGGGCTCGAAGTACTGGATCATGTTCCCCTCGTCGCAGTCCCTCCCACCTCCTCCTGGCGTCTTTGTCAGTGAAGACCAAAGCGAAGTCACATCTCCGCTCAGCATTGCCGAGTGGTTACTAGGGTTCCACGCTGAAGCACGAAATACCCCCGGATGCAAGGAAGGCATCTGCGGCGAGGGTGAGGTACTGTACGTGCCATCCGGCTGGTATCATCTCGTGTTGAACCTAGAGCCCAGTATCGCCATCACACAGAACCTCGTTCCCAGAAGTCGACTCGGTGCTGTTCTTCACTTCTTGAACGGTCCCAAGTGCAATATCAGCGGTTTTAGCGACGATATCGACGATCCTTATGGATTGTTCGTGGAAAGGCTACGAGAGCATGATCCTGAATTACTGGCAGAAGGCTTGAAAGAGATGGAGAGACTGAGCAAGATTGGCAAGGGTTGGGAAGAAATTACCAAACTCGCAAACGAGGATGACGAAGCAGGTGTGGGTTTCTCCTTTGGCTTTGGAGGCGGCGACGACGACGACGAGGAGATTCCTTGAGAGGGATATGCTATGGGCTGGTGATGGAGCTCCTTTCCACAGAAACCTTGGCCGTGGCGTGGCGGACTTAAGGCATGATGACTACATGAATGTACCTTAGAACCTGAAGTCAGACATCGGTGCAGTTCTAAACATAGGCTTGGAGCTGGGATGCAGTTCGCAGAGAGGACTATCGAACATGGATGGGACTTCACGTCCCGAGTCATTATAGCTCGCAGAACATTTTCTCGGCATTGCTGCACAGAGATGCACTGATGCCACAGGTACGAGCTTCATATTAGTAGTAGAAGATATCTGCGCTCAGTACGTAGGCGTGAACTCGTAAGGCGAATCGCGGTCTCTGACTTCGACTCGAATCTTCGCCTGCTCAACCTCCTTGCCGTCAATGATCAATCCGGCTTCCATGACATCGCCCGTCACCACTGGCCCGACGCCCTTGGGCGTGCCAGTGAGCACAATATCACCCTTCTCGAGCGTCATCACCTTGCTAATGTCTGCAAGCTGCCGGCCGATCCTGAACAGCATGAGCTCCGTGTTGTCATTCTGCTTCATCTCTCCATTGACCTTGAGATACAGCTCCACATTATGCGGATCCACGATATCCTCCTTGGCCACTGGTCCGGCGATGGGCAAGAAAGTGTCAAACCCTTTCGCGATGGACCAGGGAAGACCTCGCTTTTTCGCTTCCTCTTGCACATTACGACCTGTCATGTCTATGCCTGTGATGTAGCCTCCAATCGCATCTTTCCAGCCAGCTTCGTCATTCTCCTCTAGGTCTTTGACTGTTTTGCCAATCACAATTCCCAGCTCGATTTCGAAGTGAAGTGTCACGCCTTTGGGTCGGAGTATGGGGCCTTCGTCAGGCAGGAGGATCGATGAAGAAGGCTTGAGGAAGAAGAAGGGTTGTTTCGGTCGTTGGTTGTTCAGCTCCGTGACGTGGTCTGCGTAGTTGCGCCCTATGCAGACGACCTATATCACAGAGTTGAGTACAAGACCACGACAATCAAGAGTAGAAGCTGTTCCAGCTGGCGGATACCTTTCGACAATTCTGCTTGATCTCCTTCAAGCTGGTCATGTTGGCCGCCGATGCTGATAATGCCCTCCTCTGCGCAACAGGTATGGAAGAATCGATGCCTCGCATGGTACTTCGCGCAGCCTTGCAGATATCTGGACCGCTTGTACTCCGCAAGCTTCTTGCAGCAAGGAAGCTCGCTGTGCAGTATGCCGGTCGGGCAGCAGTTGGAGCTGAAGTCCACTTCGGCAGTTCTCTACTTGCGACTCGTCGTACGAATGGCACGGACATGATATCGCTGCTGTTCTGGCTGCTGCGCTGATGGGCGATGTCGTTGCGCTGGATCGAGACGAGAGGCTGAGAGGTTGCTGGAGCTCTCTGCAGTCTTCAATGGCAGGATGGACAAGGCCGCAACGAATTTTGTGTTTGGTGAATTCTAGAGACTTGACCTACCTTTGGCAACGTCCGTCGTGAACGATCTCAGGAAGCCGGCCAACGTGCAGGGATAAGCTGTCAAGATATCTCCGAATAGCGGGGACTGCGGACGACGCGGACTTGGCATATGTCATGTAATAACTACATGTACCGCTGGTAATGTCGAGCGACGGTTCATATAAATGATTAGGGGATATCAGACTAGGCACACAGCATCGTCGAGGGTTGATGAGGCACAAAGGTGCCCCATTGTGCGACACAATATATTCTGAAATCATGCTGCTTATTAACTCGTCTCGTTGTATCAGCTTTTCCTGTTCTTCTGCCTCCAGGAGCATTAGTACGAATGATCCAATAAGGGATGTATACCATGGCAATGAAGGTTTGTATCGTATGAACGGCGACAGTAAACGGCGTGCTCCAGATATATAATAAGCCCGGTGTCTTCCATCCAAAGGTCTTTGATACCGAGCGATCGGAGACGAAGCCAAGCTTCCATCAGGTCTTTTTTGCTGTCAATGAGGCGCTTCATCTCGTGGTAGGCCTCTTGTGTGGCGTCGCCGCAGACGTTTTTGGCATTCTCGCTCGTACCTAGGAGGTAGTGGAAATCCTCGATCTTTCACACCACACAAGGACTGATGAGTGAACAGGGTCCCAGTATGCCGACGGAGCCTAATGCATACAACGATCCGGCCAAAGGATCATAGCCATTGAATTCGAAGAGCGCTTGCAAACTCTCGCACGAAGGATTTGAAGCAACAGCTGCGAGACGAAGAATTCTCTCATCATGCTGCCGCCAGCTCGTTCCTTCGAGGGCTTCGGATTTCGGCGAATGGCTTATACCGTGTGCGTGTGGCTCAGCGGATCTCAACGCGAACATCATTTGACTGCAAGAGACAGCCACAGAAATTCTTGGACGTGAGCGCATGTCGGAAGCGTACTTCCGCGCATGATTTGTTAAGTACTGGGCCGCTTGAGATAGCCGCGAGCCACTTTTTTATTCCTCAAGTGGAATCGACAGAGCTGAAGATGTCTCGTACGTATGCATTGCTTGCTGACACACGAGGTACGAATGCCATAACATGTCGTTGCTGTTTTTGTGAGCATGCGATCTTTTTTGAAGTCCTCGCCACGAACGTGAGAACACTTGCCAAAAGTGGAAATTGTGTTCAGGCATACCATGGTCTTGCAGATGTGGCTCGAGCCGTCTAAATGATCCGCATGATCATAGACTCACAGACTGCTACTTCTCTGTCAGTTCATTCTGCGCCCCTATAGCCCCTACCAAACTTCTCATAGGGGACGACTGCTGCTGAAGCCTGGTCATACAGGTCTGAGACTGCTCCGAGTAGTTGAGACTTGCAGGTGAACCAGGAAAAGTAGCAAGAATGTAGGGCACGGTTTGGCGCTCTGGTGATAACCTTCCGAATGCCTCTTTCACGGGCAAGCGTCACCACGCAGCTGTCTGGATTCTCCGTCTCTCTAAATTTCAATAAGCATGACATTTAACATGCCAAGCATACGACAGTGGGCGTTTTGGATCGAGCGCTCTCCGCCAAGCATATCATGGAATGCTCGGAGAGTAGCGGCTGTGTCCAGGCCCGCCACTTACGAGATCTCTGGTGCCAATTCCATCAGAGATATAACATTACTGAATTCTCCAAGCCAAGCATAAGAGACGAGCATGTCCTCGGCGGTCAAAATTCGCCAAAGGGAGCACTTTTCAGGATGGCCAACACCAGGATGTATCAGCCAACCCAAGACGAGAAGGACTGCAGCACTTCGAACAAGAATACCCATAGTAGTTGCCGGCATCCAAGGGCAAGGGACGCAATGCCAGCTCTACCTCTCAACAAAGGCTACGAGGAGTCTTTAGTCACTTCCCGGGATCCCCAAAAGTCGTTGTTTCTGCATCTTCCAGGTGATGTTCGAAACATCGTTTACGATTTCGTATTCCGAACTTCCGGCGGGATATATATCGACACGAGCACGGCCAGTCGCAAACCATGCCAGGACTCTCGTGGCATATTCGCGCTAAGTATGACCTGCCGAGAGATCTACAGCGAGACACGAGACCTTCCCTTCTGGTTCAATACTGTACACCTTCGCGCGCCGGTCCTGCAAGATCTCCGTGTCGTCCGATCCAGTGGATATCAGGAGTCGGCCCTAGCATATCTACCTCCCCAGAGGATGTTGAGTGGCAAGTCCTACGAGGGAGCCCTGGCCTCTCAGGACCATAGTATGCAACGGAAAGCTCAGGAGTACGTAACGCTGGCCATGCGGATGCCCCATATTGAACACCATACAATTTGCCTGCGGGATTTACTGAGTCGCCCGATGATATTGCAGAGGCTACGCAGGGTGCAGCTTCATCTTGGATTCCAGACGAATAATGTCTTCCTGGAACGATTCTATATGGCGTGGACAGAAATCTTGCCCTACGTGCGATTGCTTCGGGGCCACGTTGACTTGCGACTGTCGTTTCAGTTGAGGCTGAGTCGCCGGCTGGTGGTCGACTACGACTTTGAGGCCAATCGTTCTGCAGCCATGCTGAGTGAGATGGATTCTTGTGTCTTGGCGGAGGGAGAACTGTCTGTGGCTGAGTTAGCTACGGTCAATGCCGTAAGACTGCGAGTCTGGAGCGGGCTGTTCGGCGCAGGCGATAGTTCTGACGGAAAAGTGCCCGGAACCGCAGATTTAGTGTAGCCGAGGCGGAGTCGGAGTGACAGATGGCAGGATGATGTGATGAATTTACGAATCTAGATATGATGTTATGATATACGATCCCTCTTTCGCTCCATAACAAACAATGCCTGAGGAGGGATGATGGTTGCGCCCGTTGGTTGTTATGCAAAAAGTGCGGGAGGGGTGGGGGCCTCGGGCCGGCGGGTGGAAATAGAGTTGGGTGCAACAAGGTAATCCTGGTCTGTTGTGATCTACACTCGCATCTCTTTCCGCTCCGCCCACGACGACAGCGACAACGACAACGACAGCGACAGCAGTGGCACACAGGCAGCGGCGTGACGCAGCGCAGACACCGTGAGATCTCGCGTGGCGGAGCGCATACGTTGCGAGCTCTCATTCGTACGATGACGACGAGGAGAATGGCACTTTGCCCACGATAGTGTATCGCATCCCATTCCTTCATCCGACCGACAACCCAAACGGTCGCACGACGACGAGCCCAGCATGGAGCCCATGGACTACAACACGCCTGGGCAATATCGGGTACATTACTTTCAACGGCCAATATCGCCCGTCGCGGCAGCTGCTACACCATGTCTTGCCTCTGGGCAGGACTACTTCTCCGCAAGCACCCGCAAGAGACAGCGCCCGGATTCATCACACTCGCGAGAAGGACGACATATACAGCAGACAACAGCGTGGAGTTGGGAGGAGACACCGAGGTGGCCGCAGTGCCCAACACCCAGCGACAACCTCTTCGGTAGTGGACAAGGTTCGGCGCTTGTGAACGAGCGGTATCGATTGGCCGATGGCTTCGACACACCTGGAGTGCAGTCTATTTGTAGGCCGGAGCTGCTTCCAGGGCAGGAAGATCCAGTTCGAAGACGGCTCAGAGACGACGACTCAGACGTCACGATGCGTTCTGGCTGTACACCTCTCACTGGACCACTCGCATGTGAGAGAAATGGTGTCGCGCGTGGGAGACCTGCCTCTGACAAGCATATACAGACGACGTGGACGAGTCTTGCTTGCAATATAATTGCCAAAGCATTGAAGTTTGGAAGCACTGCATTTCGTGGCTTTAGCGCCGGCGGTGGCAAGGGCTACTCACCATCACTGCAACCCAGCCAAGAGGTCGTCTCTCCACCAGAACCATCCCGCCATGGTACTGAGATCGATTTCTTTGGAGACTTCGAGCAGGACAGCCCCCACTTGAATCACGGATCTCCCAGCGGGCCTGCGGTTAAGCGGCGACAGACCGACAGAGATAGCTGGATAATGGTGGATATGGACAGCAGGTCGTCAAGTCCAAGACGGAAGAGCTCCATCGGTGCTTTACCACGATCCAGTCTTGCCTCGCGCGCGTCTAGCAGACGCAGCCTGGCACCTGTATCGCGGAGGGCGATGTCGAATCATCAGTCCAATGCCACCACAGCGCAGACCGTGGCTACGCCGCCTCGACCACAAAGCAGGCGAGCTTCCATCGCGCACACTCGCTCGCCTCAGGGGCGGCCACGTAGCTCTGGCGGAGGTCCGACCCTTGTCAGTCCCGAGGCAGAACGTTTTGCCAAACGACAAACGAAGCAAGCCAAGACGATGACCAGCATGAGCACCCGCATTCAAGAAATGATGCGCGAAGCTCAGGAGGCTCTTGGGACAAAATACAGCGTGGAGAGCGACTATGATGGCATGGAGGACGAGGACGAAGGCTTTGTCGATGACGAGTGGTAGGGTTTCTTTGGAAAGCAGCAGTAAGGGAGGACAGTACATTGTGTGATACGGAATGCAGCAGAGAGAGGGAGAGATATATGATACCCACGCTTTATGATTAGTCTTCGGCTACGAGCTAGGAGTGTACGTACTATAATGGAACAAACGGGTCTCACGAAGAACTTGTCGTTTCCTCGTCTTGACTACTCTCTACTCTAACTATGTCCGGGTTCCTTAGGTACTTACCTACCTACCTAGAAATCCGTCTCCGTAAACAACTTACCCTCCAACAGCGCACCCATGTCAGTCTTGCCGATACTCTCGCCATTCTTTCTGATTGTCGACGTCAGAATCTTGAAAAAGTTCACGGGGCTCTTCTCCAGCCCTGATGGGCCTCCTACCTGACCTTGATCATCGCGGAGAATGAAGCCGACAGCATCTTGCTGCCAGCCCTGCTGTGTCATAGCTTGCGTGACCGCTTTGGTAGAAAGCCCAAGGAAACGACAAATCTCCAGGTAGTCCTCGTACGAGCTGATGAACAGCTGGCCTGCGAAGAGATCCAGCTGTATCGCAAGGGCGCGTGGGACGGAAGGGCAGTTCTGCGCAGGCACAGTGTGAAACTGAAGGTGATCCAGAGACGAGTAGCTTGAATTGACGCGAGGTTTGTACATGTGCAGGGTCGTTGCAGTGGCGTTCTGCATCTTGCTGTAGAGCTCATTCGCTTCGAACGGGCTGATGATGAGCATGCGGTCGATGGAGTTATTGCCAAAAGCGCGGCTCGAGAGGATCCACTGAACTGCTCTCTGGAAAGGGTCCGAAACGTAGGAACCACGGCCAATCCGCTTGATAGTCTCGGCAAAGTCCTTGGTTACCAATAGCTTGGAATTGCTCAACTGCGCAATCGGAAAGTATTTGGCGGCATACGAGTCGCGCAAGGCCTCAAAGGCAGGCATGTAAGCCGTCGAGCTGAGTAAGTAGACTCCTGAGAGTGCAAATCTTCGGACATCGGCGTGCAAGATATGCGTTGCAGGCTCAGCATCTGGTGCTCTCTGTACTTGGCGCTCGCTCTCAATCTCTGGGGACAATTCACGTTCTTGCTCTTCTTGTAAGGTGCTGGCGTTGAACTGGAGATCGTCAAACTCCTCGCACCTGTCAGAAATCTGCCGAAGCCGCGCATTTCCGCTGTTCCTGAGGTGATATGGCTGGCTCTGTGTTAAGCGTGGGCGGTAGCGTTCGTCAAGGGATTGAGCTTCCTTCTCTTGGAATTGCTCGGCACGAGCCTGGTTCATCTGCGCTTCGCTCTTGTTCCACAAGTCCTCGTGAAGCACGAAGCGTTCGCCTTGCACTGCCCAGAGTGGCATGCTGCGACGGATGTCCTTGTAAGTTTCTAGTATTGACCACTGTAGCACATCGGCCACCGTGATCTCCGATGACTGGCGTCGACGACTGTGGGATGTGATAGCCTTACCGGTCAGGATTTTGGCCTGGATCTCTGGTGAGATGCAGAAGACCACTGTCTGCCCTTGGCCAAGTTTGCGCATCCGCATACAGGCCTGGACCAGCCTGTCTTTAGTGAGTTCGGCGCCAAGTGTCACTACTGCTCGGTAGTCTCTAGGTAGCTGAAGATCGATACCACGAGTATGCGCCTCATCAAGAAAGATGAGGCAGGAAGCAAGTCGATTGGAGAACGAGGACGTTCTCAGCAGTTCCACTGTGCCCCCGCGGTCTAAGACGCACAGATTATCGGCATCATCGATGAAAACTGCAGCCTCCTTCGTCCCGTCATGCTTGCTAAGCCAAGTTCGTGCTACCTGCAGGTTGTTCAGCTCGAGTATCTGCGCACCGACGTCGAGAATAACTTGGACTGGGGGATCAAGGCTCATGACAGTAGCCAGTAGGCGCTCAGCGTCTGAAGCTTGCTCGTCATCTCTTGAAAGCATAAGCACCACTCCGTTTGCTGGCTGCAGGATATACTCCAGGACCAGTGCATTTGTGTGCTTCTGTTCGTCCAGATCAAGATGATGGACGTCAATCGGCAACAAGCATCGAGAGTCGTTGGTGCCAGAAAACCCTGTGACAGCTCCCCCCGACAGCTTCTTCGATTTGCCCAAGTCCCAGCCAGATGCCGACAGCTTGTCAGGAAACTCTTTCATTTCCTTGGGGAACACAATGTGCGCGAGGAAGTAGTCGATGGCGCTCTTCGCAAGTCGTAATGCAGGAAACACCTCCTCGACGCATTGCGGACCATCTTTCATGTTGATTCCTTGGAGATTCTGAAATGTTACTGGCAGAGCATTGGCATCCTTGACCCAAGCTTGGTACTCAGCATCCGACTGATCAGACTTAACGACGTGTCCCATTGCAATAAAGAGATCATCGTCAGTGAGTCCCTCATAATAGTAGGAAAGCAGGGTGAGTATGATGACCACGTCGGGGTGACTGAAATCGGATCTGGGAGAAGGGCTGTCCTTGGCACGATACGGGACCGCGAGTTTCGTGGGCGGTGTGCGAGGTGATATTGTGAGTCCGTAGTTGACGCGCCAACGCTTAGAGCCGAAGGTGAAGGCTATGACTCCGCCAGCGATCAATCCTCGAAGCAACAGCAGCGGCGACTTCGTGGCCTCGGTCCAGAACGTAGAGCTCTCTACTGCATTGATTTCCGTAACGCTGAGCTCCAACTTGGTGATGTATACGTAGATTGCTCGGCGAGTGGCTTCGGGCTGTCGCGAGACCTGGAGCCCGTGCAGACCATTGCTGCAAACATCCTCTGCTAAGCGCTGGAGAAGGAGCTGTTCGGCGTCCGATCTCAGTATCCGGATGCGTGGAAAGCTCCCCATAACCGCATCTGTGTGGCATTCCAGCGATCCTGGCAGCTCTTCGGAAATGGACGGGGCAAGGCGTCTTATGATGTCCAGTAGTTGCTGCGGCACAAGCCAGCGATCGGGGCTCAACTCGACTGTGCTTTGCGTGCCCATAGTGTAGATCAGCTCGAAACGCACACTGAAGTTCTCGTCGCTCTCATCAACAATATCACGAGCTGAATCAAGTAGCTGTCGAGTTTGCGTGGAAAGAAGTTGACGACCTACGTCTTCGTGGCCGTTGACCCAACTTTCCAGGCCCATGAGCTGGAAAGAGAGGAGATGCTCTGGCTGTACCAAAAGAATGCCGCCATTGTTCTTACAGTCCATTATCATGTTGCAGATAGTGGCGATGTCTGCTGAGTCGAGCTTCAGAGATCGCGAGAAAGGCAAATAGTACACTCGCCGGTTCAGGAGACCGCCGAGCTTAGAAATCAGCATCTGTGCCATCTGCTTGGACTGTGGCTTGGCCACGACGACTCGTACTAGTCGCTGCTCGGTATTGCCATTGAGGCGTGATGACTGCGCTGCCAGGGCAGCTGCAGTGATGGGTACGATGACGCTAGACTTGCCCTCGCCCATGTTGAGTTGCATGACTGCGTTCTCCCCATTCGGTGGATCGCGCATCTGTGCTGCAATCTGCTCCTGGACGTCTCGTATCATTATGTTTCCATCGACCTCTATGAGCAGAGACTCTGGATGGAGCATTGGTTTCCAATTACGGTGACCCGGGTTGCGTAGTTCGACGGCCACGTCCTCCATGCTTGGGGTCTCGGCTTGCATCAGCTTGAGAAGTCGCTTCGCTCGCTGTAGATCTGTCAGAGCAAGGCCGTACTCAACAATGCATGTTTTCCATTCTTCGCTCAGCGTGTTCCATCGATCGTGAGCTAGCTGTCGAAGCAGAAATGTGGCCGACACTCTCGGCATGCAAGACCGAGACGCGTTGTCGGTTGTCGGGACTAAGGATGTCATCAAGATGTGATGGACTGCTTGAAACTGATCGTTGCAGCGACCGTGGTAGGCCAAGATGTCGGCGTACGCGACATTAGGTGGCATACCCAGATCGCCACGGGCTCGCATGGCCTGAAGACTCTCGACGAGCCCATCCAAATATTTCTTGCCGAATTTTGAGGTGGCCTAAGGGTAGTCGGTTAGCATGTCTCAATTGATGTACCTAGAATGCAACACGGTACGCCGCCATGAAGCAGAGATACCGGTAGTAAGCATAAGCAAGTGAAGAACTGATCACTTACTAACGATTTCTCAAGAGCTTTCGTAAGCTGCAGTAGCCTCGGTTTTTCAAGACTTGAAGGGCGTGGCCGTGTCTGCACAAATTCGAAGCCTTCAAATTTTGTCGGTAGAGAAGGGGGTTGTCGCAGAAAAAGGTCCTGCACAGAGACGTGCCCTGGAGCACTGAGAGGGATTGTCGGAACGCTGATGCTGGAGCGAGAGCCCTGAGCTTGAACTTTCCGCACACGTAAGTTGGCCACGATCTGCGCAACCTTTTCCAGATATTCACTGAGGAGCGAGTTGTCATGCCAGGACTGGAATTTAGCCTTAATCGATTTCATGACGGCAGCAACCTGGATGTGCGTTGATTGTCGGGCGATGCTTGGGACATATGGCTCTTCACATGGCCATTGCCGCGTAAGTGCAGCCGAGAATTCGTCGGCCACCCTAGCACGATTTTGCTGCCAGACACGCATCGCGTCCCTTCGCCGGCGGTTCCAAGTACGCGATATCTCGTTCGGCTGGCGGACGACAGAAGACTCTGGAAAAGGCTTGCAATTCGATGCGACGCGCTGTCGCACCACATCTGGAAGGCAAATCTTGCCAGCCTGTGGCGAAAATGACTTCATATCGGGAGCGCGAAGATGTGCAAACGAGCTTGTTGACTTGAACAAGATCCCGATCAATTCCAGCACCCGGTCGTCCACTTGGGAGGTGGAAGCTATTGTCGAAAACCAGAGCGCCACGCTGAAAGGGCGGTCCTGGACACTACTCAGCCAGCGATAGAGAGCTGGCAATCTCATCATGACCATGTCATAAGTCTCCTCGAGTATGTGAGCTCCGTACTTCATCAAACTAGTCTCGACTGGCAGGTTGGCCCCGTGCATATGATAAACCTTCGAGCATTGCTTCCAGAGCTCACCAGAGCCCAATGGCGACTCAGATAAATCGTCTCCACCTCGCGACATGAACGTGGACATTGTGGCGGCTTTTGTGGCTCGCTTGGAGAGCACATCGCGGTCCCTGGACGTATATGTTGAATCGGACTCTGAATTGTGGTCCTCTGCTCCGTAGCTCGAGACTCTGAAAGTGGCTGCTCGGATGTTATCGCGCTCAAGTAAGTACCGCTGATCCATGCAGGCAAACGACGCCAGGCGTAGCTGAGTCTTGTCGCCGGGATAGAAGACTTTCGTAGCTTCGGCCTTCTCTAACAGGGCCTGCACGATGGGCATAAAATGACCATGTTGGGACAAGAAACTGAGTTGATTGTCCCAGCGTACCGTCTGCATGACGCGTTTTTCTCGCGGGTAAAAGCTGCGGTGAGGGCTCAGTCTGCCTATCTTGTGGAGTGTGTCAACTTGCGCCTGTGTAAGGCGATCGAAGGAGTGTACGCCAGCGCCGCGAAGCATCACAAGAGCTTGCTCGGTACCGGTCATCTGTGTGAGCGGATCTCTCAGGCAGAAAGAGGTAATGGCATGAAGATATGCCACATACAATGCACAACCAACATCATTACCCTTCGCCACAAGACGGCCCAGTAGCGCATCGACCTCCAAGATATGTACTGTCGAGATGAGTGATGTCTTGGAAACTGCGACCTTGGCATGGCCATCGATTTGACTGTGCTCGACATCCATCGACTCCGGGATGAGGACCTTGCGGTTGGAAGTCTGCGGGCTCAGACACTGGGCAGGTCGCAGCACCAGCTTACTCTCGAGGCCAACCATTGCCCCTAGAGACTGGTCAGAGTCAACAGACATGGAACCCTCTTCTCGAGACATCATGACAGACGTGCCTTGGGTAACAGAGAACCCCACACGGATGGAGGGGATATCAATTCGAAGCATAGTTGCGTGCCGCTCGGCGTGTACGATCTGGTGAATGTTGGCGGGATCCGATGCCAGTGGGCGAAGTATGTGGCACACGCGGCGAGATGTTGAAGACTCTACGCCAGCAACATGGCACCCGTCTTTGGCAAGCTGCCATCTCTTTCCATGCTTGCTTAGCGTCCACATGGCAGGCGATGATGGATTCCATGGGTCACCTGCGGGCCGGAACTGCACTGTGTTGTTTGAGGCATCTAGCCAGTGAACATAATCGCGTTGAAAATGAGTTGGAAATCCTTGGATGAGGTGGGATGGAACTGTCTCCACTGCGTTGCTGTCTCTGGTGGCTCTGACTGTGAAGTACTCAGAGGTGATGCCAAGCTGGATCTTCTGATCATCACCAAAAGTACGCTTGGTGGAGAATGGGAAGCCAGGATGACTGCACGGCATGACCTCTACGATGTCGCTACCAAAGAGTCCAGCGTATAGGGGATCCTCGCGGTAGAGCTTTGGTGGCTGATCCAATGGCAAGCCGTTGACGAGCAGCTCTCCACTGAGCAGATTGTAGTGCACACGCAGCCCCCCCGAATCCTCAGCTCCTGCAGTGGTTGTGGTTAGCCAGTGATCAGCAGATTCAGATACAGTCTTCCAGCCAGTGGCTCCGGGCACATAGCTGGACCATGATTTGTGAATGGCGTCATCTAGATGGGCTTGCAGACAGTTCTGCATCAATCGCTGGTGGATGCGGTGAAGCAGACGCTTCGCATTCGCTTCCAGCACAGCAAGACATTGATTCTCACATGTACCAGCCTGAACATGCTCGCTTTCCTGAATGAAGATAGAGCTTTGAAACAGGATGGAAGCATCCTGTGAAAGAATGCCGGCAAGGTAATGGTTGTCTACGTCGAAGGTGGAAACGCAGATCAATGCAATCTCGACGCTCTTCGAGATGAAGGTAGTGCGGTCGTCATGATCCTTGGCCGTGAATGCTTTTTCACGCAGACCGAGAACCCAGCCAAGAGCTACGTGACGGGCACGCTTCAGGAAAACGAGACACGCATCACGCACAGTCGCGGACGAGGTGAGAGACAGTGCACGTACCGCAATTGCGATGAAAGTCCGAACTGCCTGCGCCGATTCCCAATTCTTCTGTACCCTCTGCAGCGCTATTGTGAGATTGATCAGGAGCGATGTGGTATTCTCGGGACTGCTGAAGAATTCATGAGCTTCACGGAGCACGTGTGTTGCCTTTGGGCCAGCTTGGTGTAGACACTGCAGCAAGACGAGTGTGGTGTCAAGCTTCTTGAAGTCCACTCCTGGCATTGAAAGCTGAAGAAGGATATTGGCCAGCTGAATGTGGTGGCCGAGCGGAATCGTCGCAAGTTCTTTGTATTCCTCCAAGGCCATGTCGATCGGACATGCGTTTTGGCTTGCAATAGCAGTGTTTGGTCCTGGTCCATCGGGAGCAGAAGCTGGTCGAAAGACGAAGCTTTGAAGGGCTGTGCGCGGTGTGTATGTGCACGATAAAGCAACAGTATCGGGGAATGCGAGTGGCCCCATTTCCGTGCGACTGGTTACATCGTAGTAGCCGTACTGCATGCCGTTGGCCACACATATGTCAGACTTGTTCAAAGTCGCGATAGATTTGTCGCTGTAGTGAGTCTTCAGGCAAGGCTTGATGTGCGACAGAAGGCTTATACTCTGACCTGGCAAGCCTTGGAAGCGTTTCGTGAGGTGAGGGTCGTTCATGGACAAAAGGTACGCTGTTTTTGGATACAGGGGTTCGCGCCAGCCCTTGAGCACATTCTGCAGGAAGAATGATCTAAGATCACGCCAGATCGCGAACCAGGAAGGCACCTAAAATAGGAGTAGAGGTAAGCAAGTGTCTAGCCACATGTATTATATCCCGCTCGCAGGCAGATTTGTGCGTTTTCAAGCTGCGATCTTGTATATTCGCTGGGGCGTGATAGTAAGCATGAGGAATGGGCACGTGTACTCACCCGAAGCTCGAAGACCACAGCTTGTGCATGGGGAACATCGCTTGGAAGTGGCCACTCGTGCACTTTGATAGTGAGCGCGTCTCGTGCTCTCTCATGACCGCACTTCGGACAGGACCACTCCAAGTGCACCTGCTCGGTCTCTGGTGGATTGCACCAGTTGTCAATCACCCGGGTCGTGTACTGATGATCAGCGTCACCAGCCAGAGAATCAAGCCGACGATAATCAGCAATGGTATCATCGAACTCTGCGTGCTTTCTCTGGCGTTTACTAGTCGCACGAGCCTCGATTTTGGCCTTGAGTCTCTGATGCTTTTTAGACTGGGCGAAGAACTGGTTAGCAAAGCCATGAAGGCCCATATCGAACAAGCGATTTGTTGGATTTGTACTTCTCGACGACCGGTCTTCCAGGTACGCTTCCACCCTGGACAGCCTCTTCATCTGATCTATCGAAGGCAAAAGCAGATTCTGGAGCACAGCAGCTGGGATTCCGGGCTCGAATCGAGCCAAAAGAGGACCAGTGCGAACGGCGACTTTGTCGCAAGCCACCCAGATTTCGTAAATGGTCAGTATCATGACTGACTGCATCTCAGGGTTTCCCGAATAATGAGCACTGGCCAGAGCATGATAGCGCATCATGAGCCCACTCAAACTTTGGCAGGCATCCTCTTGGGCTTCCATGGCTACCCACTGGTCGATGTACTGCGCTACCCATAGCTCAAATTGATTGAGGTTGGCAGTAGCGTAGTAGCGATCTGTTGAGTTGCTGCCGGGTAGTGTAGGCAAAGAATCAGGTCGGTGCTTCAGAAGCTCCGACGACGGGGTGAGACACTCACTTTCACTTACACGCTGTCGAGATACGATAGCCTCGATGTGTTTGTCCAGGGCCGGAAGCGACAATAGAGTGTCCTTCTCAAAGTCCAGAGAAGCAAGAAAAGGGAGTTGCATATCTCGAGCATCGCGCTGTTGTATCTTGGACCAGCGTGCTGCGAGTGTCTCGGAAGTTTCTTGAAGAACTTTTCGGACGCTTGCCATCACGCAGATGGGGAACTTCTGCTCTGGCGCCGAAAGCTTCTGTATCCGACGTTGCATCTTGGCAGTCATAACGAACAGCATGTCACTTGAGCTGTCGCGAGCCGAGTGGAGGACGTGACTCATGATATACAGCATTGTTTCTTTGTAGACTTGAGGGTTGCCATCAGAAGAGCGGGACAGAACAAGCTGGAGAGCGACTCGGATCAATGTCCACATTGGCAATCGGCGCCATGGTGCCTTGGCGTCCCGCCAGAGTACCTCCTCGCGCATGTTCTTGGAAATGGAGGAAACTGTAGTTGTTGTGGGTAATTCGAGTCCGCGTAAGAACCCGAAGAACAGTTCAGACACGATAGCTGGGTTAGTGGTATCGCGCTCTTCGTCGTGTTCACTGCCAGTCTTTTTCGATATCGGTTGCATGCCAGGCACTTGCTGGTGACACATGGTTGAAAGTGTGGTCGCCACGTTTTCGGTGAAGTCTGACTGGTTCAACAGATCCGCGCTCAAAGTGACAGCGAGGCCTGGAAAGTTGCGCCGAAGTCGACCTTTGGTGCCGCATACGCCTTGATTCAGCGGCGACAGCTCGAACTCCTCGAAAAGCAGTGTCTCAGCGGAGCGAGTAATCAAGACTGCGGCATTTTGCGCGCTAATCTTGATAGCGAGTGTCTTTCCAACGGGGATCGTGGCGAGAGTCTCCTTGAGGCGGTTCGCATCAATGTTAGCACCCGGTAAGCTATTTACTACCTTGAGACTGGAGATCAGAGCGACAGCATTGTCGATAGTGCCGAGCGGCAGCAGAGCTTGCAGTGAGTGCAGAGCCTGAAGCGTGGTGTCGAGTAGCGCAAGATCCACATTCTCATCGTCGTATTCAGCGTCCTGAGGTAGCTTGGGAGGCAGGAAAATGTGATTGATCAGGCTCTGCAACTTGTCCGTATTGGGTGGCGCCATGTTTGGAGAATGGCAGGTCGAGCGGCGCCGTTGGTGAATATGTGCGGTGTATGTGCACAGAGAGAGAGGGAGCGAAGGGAGGGTGAGAGGTTGGTGAGTATGTGCGGTGTATGTGCACAGAGAGAGAGGGAGCGAAGGAAGGGTGAGAGGTTGGTGAGTATGTGCGGTGTGTGTGCACAGAGAGAGAGGCAGCGAAGGAAGGGTGAGAGGTTGGTGAGTATGTGCGGTGTGTGTGCACAGAGAGAGAGGTGGCGAAGGGAGGGTGAAAGGTTGGTTTGTTGTGGAAGAAATCCACATCCAGTCCAACCTTTGGACTGTTTACCTTTCGCGCGCCGCGTCTGACCCAGTTTGGCAAGTGCAGCAGGTGCGTGTAAATGTTGTCGGATGAAGCAGTCTCGAAGCGACGCAAATGCTCGCGAATGCAGCAACAAATAGGCAATGCCTTCAGTCAGTACAGCACACAAGACACTTACTGCCTCCACGATAGCGTATTGAAGCTGAAGATGGCGCACTGTGACTGGAGTCAGCTTTTACGCGTTTGAGCGCCGTTCGCGCGCGTCTGCATCCCGTCCTCTCATGCACGAACGCGAGGATTGGCCGTGCAGTGATCCAGCATCTTCACCACCACCACCACCACCACCATCATACTACGGGCACTTCTGGAGCACAGTTGGCAGATACTTGCTCACCGGCGGCATGAATCTGTATCTCGACGCGAAGTGGTACCCATAGCCTGCCCGTAATCGCGCTCATCGGTCCAGGCCACACGATATGTGACATGCATCGGGCCTATGAGTGGCCAGACACAGAGATATTGTGACCATTGCACCTTTCCATCGAGCGAGGATGGCGACCATCCTCAACACGAATATGCCTCTCTTTCTTGTGTGTTCTCTGCGGACAGCACTCTTTATCAAATCTCTTCGCAAGCTCGATCTGCCTCCCTCCCTCCTACTCTTTCGCAAGCCCAATCCGCCTCCCTCCTCCTCCTCTTCCCAGTGCTTCAAACAGCATCGACCAGACCTCAATGAACGCTTAGCGACCTTCCCTAAGCAAGTCAGCTCCAATCACAAGAACCTACTATACATCCTTCCAGAAGAAGCAAGATCCTTCATCTTCCCAGACCCGCCGAAGCGACTTCCTGTCCAGCTTCGCCTTCAAGTATGATTCCAGCACCCTCCCATTCCATCAATGGAATTCCCCAAGCTGATGCTGCTCTCTTTTTACTCGAAAGACACGAAGATAACGGAGAGAGACTGTCCAGGTAGCGGAACACCTAGCCAGAAAGATCCCGCGGCATTGAGATTAGAGGCGCGCGTGGAGTAGTGAAGATCTCCAATGACTTCATTATAGATGTAGGTAGGAGGTCGACACGATGAGGTATACCTAGGTATGGTGAGGTCGAAGCTTGGCGTGATGCTATTTAGGTGAGTTCTATATTTGGTACCTTCGCCATTCAGCTTTGCCAAGGTAGGAGGTATTTATCTGAATTCGTTTATGAGGACAGGACTTCAGTTCAGAACCTCCAAATATGATGTAGATACCAGGTATATCGAGTGAGTGAGTAAGTGAGCAAAGTAGGTACCAGGTATCTATCGAACACATCAAACAAATGAACTCACTCAATTTCAACCCATTATCAATTAGTATTTCGCACTCATAAATCTAGATATATATGTCTAAAAGATCATTCGCACATCTACCTTACCCAAAAAGAAGAACCAAAAAAAATCCATCTAGTTCTTCTTCTTCTTCTTCTATCAAACATGATGCAGTCCAGCAACATCAGTAATCAGCTGCAGCATCGCCACAACTTTTTCTTCTTCGAGACGTCTCGCGACGAGGGAGAGACCGACGGGAATTCCCTCAAACATGGCACGTTTCTCATCTAAATATATGGGAAGAATTTTTGGTGTCTGTTAGTATATATATCTGCATCGTCTCTAAGCCACTGGTTGCCGAAAAAAAGAGGAAAAGAAAACGGGCATGTTTGTAACTCACAAAATTCCATAACGTTTCGATCCGTCTCAGACAAAGGATGCCAGTCCGTAGGCACACGATCAATTCCAAGATCGACCCTCGTCACAGGAAAAGAACCCGTCGTCAAATCCAACAAAGGCGACAGAGCGCCGTGATAAGAGGGCCACTTGCTATCATGCATAACAGCAGGGAAAGGCAAAGTCTGCATAATAAGACCATCCATCGGCCGTCCCGTACCCGTCACATCAGCAGTTTCTTCCCATCTCTGCAACCATCGTTGAGCAAACAAAGTCCTACGATGTTGAGTCTGCCAAGTTTCCGAAACGCTCGTTTTGGCTGCAATAGCACTTTTCCGGAGCCACTCTTCGACTTCGGGATGCAAAGGCTCGTCAAAGACTTGGGTCTCGCGTTGAAATTCTTCGCCGCCGTCGGCTGTTAACATTTTTTGGGAAATGTCTTGCGCTTCGAGCATTTCGTGGGGTTTGAATTCAATCACTGCGTGGCCGGCGGCGAGCAGCTTGTCGCGGACTATCTCGAGAGCTCGCCGGACAGGTGGCGTCGCTTGGACTCGATCGTCGTCTAGACTCCAGCCGAAGCACAGCTTCTTGGGCAGGATCTCGTGCTCTGTGCGCCAAGGCATGGGTAGGCATTGCGGGTCTTGCAGCCATGGCTTCTGCGCCAGTGCGCTGGTCATGAAGAGGCGAATATCCTCGGGCGAGCGACACATGGGCCCAGCGCTCGAAATTACAGCTTCTTGGCCCACGTACGTGTTTCCCACATTCTGATACGAGACTCTGCCGTGCGAAGGTCTCAGCCCAAAGATGCCTGTCATGTGACATGGCATTCTGATAGAACCACCAATGTCCGTTCCCACGCCGAGATAGCTGCCACCAAATGCCACCAGAGCACTTTCACCGCCTGAAGACCCACCGGGAGTCAACTTGCGGTTATAAGGATTCAAAGAACGACCAAAGACGTTATTCACCGTCTCTCCCGACATCAGCGTCGCAGGAACATTCGTCTTCGCATACAAGACCGCTCCCGCATTCAACAGCAACTCCACGAGCGTCGAAGCCGTTCGCATAGGGGCCTCCGCTCGAGAAATATATCCAATCGTCGTATCCAGACCAGGCACATGAAACTGGTCTTTGAGACTAATAGGTAAACCATGCAAAGGTCCCACGGGTCCACTCTCACTCATTTTCCGATCGAGCGCTTCCGCTCTCTGCAAAGCGTCATCAAAACAAATCTCCGTCAAGCAATTCACCAATTGCTGCGCGACGGCAGCACGCTTGCACACGGCTCGCGTGACTTCCAGCGAAGTCCATTCTCGCTTGGCAATTTTCCGAACGACTTCCGAAGCCGTCGCATTCGTCAATTCCAGTTCGCGAGGGGTGAAGAAACCTGAGGTGGAGGGAAAGGTTGAAACATCATTATTATCATTATCGGTGGATGCGTCGTCGGGGAGGAGAGCTTGTGGAAGAAGCCATTCTTGTGGAATTTTATGTTGTCGTTCTGCTTGTTTGCGAGCTGCCACCGTTTGCCATGTATCGAGAGAGTTTCGAATACCCATTCCAGGTATGTATGGTACCTATAGGTGTGCAAGTACAGGTAAGGTCAAGTAGGTTATGAGAGGTAAGGTAGTATGATGATGTTGAAGAGAGAAAACAAGTAGGTAGGTATCTGAGTAAGAGGTAGTTAATAAAATAACCCTACTCTCAACCAAACACTCTCTCCACATTCTCCCTCTCTCTCTCTCTCCCAAATCTCTCCAGGTCTCCACACACCCAGGCAGCAGGCTACCACACAACTGTTATTACCTCCTAGTACGGTATACGGCAAGGAGGTTAAGGAGGTAAGGGTAATCTCTCATCCACCGACACGACACACCACGTAAAAGAAATTTGGCCCTATCGTGCTTGGCCGCGAACTCAATCATGCCAAGTCTTACGGCAGTGTCAAATTAAAGTAAAAAAAAGAAACATTCCTGGAGGGATCTATGAGTTGGTAGGAACTATGTGTAGGAAGCGTAGGAGGTAGGATGATGTGACACTAATGTAACAAGACTCGTGAAAAACAACCAAATTCATATAAAGGTCTGGTTACACATCACAGGTTGCACTATACCTGCGGACGGAAAGATTGGACGCGGAATAGCAGATGCCGATTATTGCCGGTGAATGCCGGTTTCTCAAGGTCAGGTAAGAATCCCCATCTCTTGGAGGTCATCCACTCACAACATTCGTTTCATTGTTCTCAAAAACATTACATTACTTTACTTTACCCTATGGGCCTATTTCTTCCTCTATTCCCGTGTATATAAATAACATTTTCCATTATTTCATTCAGTTTTCTCTTTTTCTCTTTTTTTTTAATTCTTCATATCCCCGAATCCGACTGTAAATACGGGGCATGTTCGGGATAGTGCTCATTCCACGCGGCACATTGACTGTCATAATCTGCGGGAAGAGGAGCGATTTCGAGCATGTTCGATTGGCTCTCGATGAATTGGACGGCGAAACCGTCGTCTGCGTGCCAAGCCTGTGGGAGAGTTAGTGGGTGGGTGGGTGATATGAGAGAGAGAGGGAACGTACAATGTGGCAATGCAAGAGCCATGCTCCTGGATTGTTCGTCTCAAATGCAATGGCTAACCAGCCGTTGGTGGGCAGCATGGCGACATCTCTTCGGAGAGGACTGTCGTAGTTTAATGTTTCGCGATCGGCATCTGTCCAGGCACTACTGCCCGATCCGAGGACGTAAAAGTCGTGGCCGTGCAAATGCTGGAATACCCGTGTTAGTGAAAACCCCACAGCACGAGGATATTGATGACGGAAACTTACAATGGGATGTGGAATGTTGACTGTAAAGGGAGATCCAAACCCTTCTGTGATGACCCAATACGTCCACTCGTTCTGGTTGGGCAAAGATATGACATTGGTGCGTTCGCCCCATGCCGAGAAGCCTGCATCGTCCTGGACCTGTCCGAGCGTAGGGTTGCCCCAATCGACCCTCATGGGAGTGCCATTCACCTGCCAGTAGAGCGTGAGATAGCCATTGGCGTCGGTCGACTGGTTGATTGCGGTGTCCAGTTGTTCAAAAGTGGGAAGGGTGCTTTGGGGCACATATGAGTTCCAGTAAGATACAAGTCCAGTCTCGTCTGTACAGCGTTGGGTATATGGAGTTGCAGTGCTGGCCGGCGTCTCGGTCTCGTGGCCTTCGTACGAAAAGATGGAGCGAATGTTGCCATTGTTGTAGTTGGAGCCACATCCCGCAGTGTCTTGAGATTCGGCGCGAAACCAATAGCTTCCGGGAGACTGATCTGCCGTGATGATCACATCATAGCGCTGGCCGATTCCAATGAAGATCCACGAAGCATTATACGGAACGACTGGCACAAAGTCTGCGGAGATGACAGTCATGGTGTGGCCGTCGAGAGAGAACTGGAAGTGGCCATCGACACTGGTGTTGATGAGTCGCAGTCGATGTTTCTTGCCCGGAGTCAAGGTGGTACGCGCGTACGAGCCACCCGAAGTGGAAGTCATGGTGCCATTGATCAGGCCGTTGTCGGCAGTAGGCGCAAGAGAGTTGCGATGCATGGCCAGGAGAGAAGTCGTCCCGACTGTAGGATAGTACCAATCCGTGATTGTCAGCGGTCCGAGATCTTCATCGTAGTCCGCAGTAGCCGGTCCGTAGATGACGATGGGGCCAAGAACACCATCGCCGTACTGGGACGAAAAATGCGAGTGATACCAGCTCGTGCCATATTGTGTAGCAGTAAAAGTATATGTCTTCTGGCCGCCCGGCACGATAGGACACTCTGTGAGCCCTGGCACACCATCTTGTGCGTTGCTGTGGTACATTCGCATCCCATGGAAGTGGATGGAAGTTCCGTTGTTTTCCAACTCATTCTTGACTGTCACGGAAATGGTGTCACCCCAGTTGGCGTATATCGTGGGACCTGGATACTGTCCATTGACAGCATAGACCAGACGCTCGTATCCATCGGGTGCGAGTGTGGTATTGGTGATAGTCAATTCGTACGACACCGTGCGCCCCGTCACTGGCCACGTCTGATCAAAGTCGGTGTCGATGTCGAAGCCCTCGCTCCAGCAGCGGCGTGAGTTCGAGGCGTTTGTGCATGTTGCTGGTGTTGCACTGCTCGTCGATGTCTTTGTTGCACTCGTGGATGTGGCTGTAGACGTCGCATCAGGAGCACGTACCACAGGCACACTACTGGTGATCGTAGTGTCCGATTGCCACGTGTCGGAGATCACTGCGTTGCCGCTGCTGGGCACCACGAACGAATGATCAGAGCCTGCCTCCCAAGTGATTGCGCCGTCCGTGCCGATTCGGAGGTACTTGTACGAAAAGCTGGTCCCCGCTGGTATGCTGATCGTGCCCGACCATAGAGGATTGGTGCTTGTGTATTGCGCCGCGTCGAGCGAGATGGCGTTACTGGTATCCCAGGTTCCGAGCTGCGATATCGAGCCGATGACTTGTATTGTCTCGCCCCATGCGGTCTCGGAGAGCTCGTTGAAGGTGACGTCTACGCTGCTGGTCTGCCGCCGGGCTCGAGATCTTTGGCGAATGGTGACGGGTCGTGAAGGCGTAAATGGGGTTGCTTGTCGTGCGGTGCCGGCTTGCTGCAACTTCTCAGGAATGACCGAGGCAGCCGCCAATGCCAATAGATTAAAGATGGAGGAGTAGTAGTGTAACCTCATGATGATGACAAGTGCCGGCGCAAGCCCAGGATGCAGACGGGAATGCGATCGGTCGCAACGGGTGGGTGATGGAGAGGTATATAGAAGGGATGATGGCACGCAGTGAAGAGAGGGAAAATGTTAGTGAAGACGGTCATACATTAGGTAGTTAGGTATTGAATGGGGCGAGGAGGAGGAGCAGGGACAGAGAGGCGGTGTTTGCATGCGCACACTATGTATGTAACCTCTCCAGTCCCGTCTCGTCGCAGGGTCGCTAGTCCCGACCGATGGTGGGCGCACGCATCCAGCATCCAGCATCCAGCAGGAAGAGGCTGTCTTCGACGTCGCCACAATTCCACTCGCTCTGCTGCTCCCGCGCGACGGCGTGGTGACGCCAGGTCCGCGCGAGGAGGCTGAAGATAGACGTGTTGTGCGACGAAGGCTCGGGGCGCGGTGGGCGAGACGAGCCAGAGAAAACGTCGCGAACGGCGCCTCTCCTGAGCTCGTGCAGTAGTCGCCAGAGTGCCGCCCAGGATGGAGAGTAAGGAGCGGTATGCAATAGAGTGCTGCATGATCTCCATTGTCTTCAGTAGAAAGTAGTCTGACGCTTCACCAGACCAGTTCGAGTTCTCTAGTTCTACTACCATGCTCTCGCTCTGTTTCAACGCAATCAAGTCGGAAACAACGGTCTCGGGGCATAGCACTCACTTGCACCCACTCTGGGATCTCCATGTTGCCGAAAAGCAGCTCGTCATTGTTCAACGATGCTCGACTGCCACGCGCTGCCACGAGCGAACTGCCTGTCCTTCTAGCGTCGCAATCGTCTGCTCGCAAACCGATCCGGCCACGTGCAGATGTCTCCGATCCTCATATCCAGTGCCGGAGCATGGGGAAGTCGTGGACTCGTAGCCGGGCAGTATATTTAGCAAAGGTGTCACAAGTCTAGTGCAATTATAGAATGATGGCACAGATTGCAACTAGAAGTAGGACACCTTAGCCTTCCTGCGTGTCCTCTTTCGGCCCTTTCGACTGCTTCTATGCGCGCGCGGTGGCTCTGCAATTCATATGTATGATCATCAGCTGCGGATGATCACCCACTCCAGACGGACAATGCCTCTTTTCCTATGCAAGGATATGTTTAGTATCGCGTGAGCCGCTTGTTTGTTATATATTGGTATGCTGACTGACCTGATGAGGCATCGACTATGAATACACGGGAGGCCTGAAAGCCCAATTGCCTGGAAGCCAAATCGACTTGTCGGACCCGGGTCCTAATAGAGAGAGACATAGAGAGAGATGCAGTAAGGAGCCACAGTCCTCATGTTTACTTACCATACGCCATCTATGCCGGGCCTACGCTTTCCCACACCTCGCCGTCTCCCGGGCACTTCGCTTCCCTTCCAGCTCGGAGGCGCGAAACCTAGAGAGCTCTGGATGACCGGCAAGATGATGTGTAGGATCGAGAATTATCGTTGTAGGATGGATGTCGGTGGCGGATGGGTATGCTACTACTGTATACCGAGCGTAGGTACCTCCTATTGTGACAGTATTGTTCGGCCGAATATGGAAAATGCCCCGAGTGCGTGTCTGAGAGCCGTTGCAGCCATGTAGTGTAATGTCACAATGTGTTCAAAAGAGTCGTGCGAGTGGAGTCTTCCACCAAGCTTCCAAGTTCTCACTGGTCTATTAGGTAGTCTCTCTGCAGAAAGGCATTATGTCAGTTCCATATCCACAAGAATGGCAACCCAATAGAACGACATGGCACTGTCACAACAACCCAACGGAGAGGATGAAAGTTTCTGACTCGGACCCACAACGAGTTGCAACGCTAGGGATGCTTTCCCAGCCGGATATTGCAGCCAGCCGAGACATTATGATCGCGTGCATCCCTCCCCGTAGAGTCGACCATCCCGTAGAGTCGATCATCCCGCAGAGTCGACCATTCCGTATAGTCGACCATGGCAAGTCTGGCGAGGTTTAAACTGCTTTTCCCGTCGCCGCGTGATGTTGGAACGGTTCCGGAAGGGTATCCTGTATGCCACAACCATCTCTCCATGCTGTTGTCTGGATAATGGAGATGCAGTCCTCGCGGACCCGTCGTGGTCATGTCGTTGTCGCGGAGTCATATAGGCCAGCTATAGAGAGAGGTATCACATCATCCTCGGGCTCGTCGCTCGCCCAGGTTCATGCGACAGAGATTACCTTACCTGTACCTAGGTGCCTTAGTCATCAGCTGTATGTATATTTCGAGTGGCCTCAACTCATCGGCTATGCGTGAAGCAAGCCGTGCTCTGAGAAGCTGTACGAAAGCAAAGCCATTTCAGAACATATGTCATACGGTAGAGTCTGGTCATACCCACACCGTCATAGAGTATGTCAGGTAAGTTCAAAAGTTCACTATGGGCAAGCTCGTATTCCTCGTATTCACTTCGGTGTTAGCGTAGCCAAGAGTTAAGTACCACAACCTTCCTAAGAGGTACCTACAAGTTCATGACTTCCTCTCTCTCCTGCACATCAGGTATCAGTGCCATTCGTTCTTGACGCATCAAAAAGATGGTCTCCACCGAGCAGCCATGGCACGCAGCCTTCCCGGCGCCCAAGCCCGAGTATACCGCAGAAGTCATGCCTCGCAATCGCGCTCTCACCGTGCTGAGCATGCGCATCGCTTCCATGCTCATCGTAGATGTCCGGCGCACCGATTACGAAGGCGGCAGCATCCGAGGGAGTCTCAACATTCCTGCGCACGGGTTCTGGTGGAATCGCGGCATTCTGTATGAGTTGTGCTATAAAGCAGATATTGAGTGGGTGGTGTTCACGTGCGGGTCGAGTAATGGCCGTGGACCGAGATGCGCGAGTTGGTTTCTCGAGCATGTCCGGGACACGGTGGGAGATCAGGATATGAATGTTCTGGTTCTGGAAGGGGGTGTGAAAGGATGGGTCAAATCGGGGGACCAGTATACGGCCTATATGGATGGATACAAGGAGGACTATTGGAGGGAACTGTTCGCGAAGGAAGAAGAGAAGGAGAGGAACGGGTCCAGTGGAGCGGCGGCTCACGAACCGGCATCGCAGATGGTTGCCAGGGCAGTGGGAGACGGAGATGTATTGAAGTGACGAGCTCGATGGCTACGGTAGAACTATACCTCCCGGCGGTGAGCAGCTGACACTGGCACTGGCACCGGTATTGGCACTAGATATTCGCCAGCCGCTTCTTCTCAAGGTATCCTTCTCACGTCATCGCTTGGTAGGTTGGTATGAGACAGTAAGTGGTGGAGTGCCTCGAAGTGAATGCGGATGCTTTCGCGAACCTTGGTTCTGCTGGGTTTGAATCTGTGGTTTTGTGGAAGTTAGCGGAGCTAACCACAGAATCAGCAAGGCCACCACTTCAGCAAAGCCACCACTCTCTATATACAACTCGACCGACGCGAACTTCCAAAGAATCTTCTACCACACCAACAACACTGACAACCTTGCACACACTCCATCCACTGGACAGTGGACACACACGCGCTTGCAGCGAGAGCGACACATGATGGATAGAACAAACAGCGAGTCCGGGTATGAAGATGCGTTAGAGAAGATGCCAGCGGCCGCCGCTTCGTCTGCGACGGTACAGAATTCACTGCATCCTCGAAGCTCAAGAGTGCACACTCGGCTGACATTCACCTAGTGCGCATCGCCTACGTTGCATCTCCCCTTCCAGTCAAGGCTGTTGAACTTGCCCCCGGAGCTCCGACTAAATATTTACGACGAGTTGATGCACCATGTTGCCGCTACATCGAACGGTGTTCTTGAAACCCATGCTCTCGGATACATGATGGCCGCAACGCTCAAGGAGCAAGGGAGCGCTTTCTTCTTTAGCACCATCATCCCCAAGTGTACCATGGTCTGCAAGCAGTTTGCTCGCGAATATGAAGATCATGTGCTCGGCCATACATCGATGACCATTTGCTTCGCGCATGGAATCGCGAAAAATATGGAAGCTCTTCCATGGCGTGGGCTTGCTCCGCAGCGACGCGTATTCCAGACAATCCGGCGATTTGATATTCAGATCTGGTCGAGCGTCGCTTTTGGCTGTGGACAACCTTGGTATGACAAGGCGGTCGATTGGCTGAAAATGCAGCCCCAGCAACAAAAGGAGGTCCATGGTGATTGGACTCCTACCAAGCAGGTGTTTGAGGACTTGCACGAGTTCTTGATCAACTTCCACCAACTCCTGTCCCCACGAGCGCGCCTCCACTTTTCGGTCGACGTTCCATTTTTCAAGGAGGCACCGCACATGGTTACCAAATTTGATCTGGAGGCATTTGTCAATATGCTTGCCGACAGCGAAGAAGAGCACTGTCCATTCGATCAGCTGAGCATCTCTCTCCGGCACACTTGCTATATCGATATGAAGCTGGATCATCCTGAGGAATACTGGACACGTCGACTCATCGAGAACGCAGGTGGACAGTACGAAGGGCCCGAGGCGACGGTGAGTTGGGGTTCCCGCATCGCATTCTACGAGGCAACGATGATTCAAGTCGGAGACGACGTATGGGAGAGGGGCGAGTGGGAGTTTATGGGATTGCATAACAACAGTGAGACGCCGCGGCTTCTCGAGTGATGGCCTGCAGCCATATAGCACTGTGCTCGGGCTTTGGGGAGGGAGGGGTCTTGAATGGGGGAGTTTTCTTTGGTCGCAAATGGGGTATACAGAGCTCTTCACCACTTTCGCCGTGGTAGCTGCAGCTTGAGAGTCGGTGATAGTGTAATCGCGCTTCTGGCATATGGGTTGCTGGCATATGGGTTTCTGGCACATGGGCCGCTGGCATATGGAGTGCTGGCATATGGAGTGCTGGCATATGGAGTGCTGGCATATGGGTTGCTGGCATATGGATATGGGCTGCTAGTATATGGGCTGCTCGATCACTACAGGTAATGGTAACTTTTGGACGTTTTGCTGCCTTCTCTCTTCGCGTCTCTATCGCAACAGTATCTCACGTTGTGATTTCCACTATAGGTACAGGTATAGGTATTGCCGAAGGTGTGCCTAGGTACCTCACTACCTCTCCGCACCAAGCAAGGCGATCAAGGATACAACCCTGTACTGACATCACATCACTCTCTCTAACAGCAACGAGCACGCACAACGATCTACCTACATCTCACAGTGATTCTTGTAAACCTCAACTAACCATCTCCGTCCAGAAAATCACCAAAAATGGCCTCCATCAATCCCACAGGCATCTTCCGCTTCGTCGAACCTGACCTAACCATACCCGCCCAAGACCGCGCCATATTCGCCAATCCACGCCCCAAGCATCTCGTCCAACTCGAGCTCCCACTCCACGACATCCGCACCTCCAACGAAATCTCCGCGGGCTCCGCAGGTCTCGATGTGCAAGGTTTCACCTACTTGCACCATGTCTCTGCGTTGAGCCCTGAGCAGATGCTCGAGGGCAGGAATGCTGAAGATGTGCTCGCTCCGGAAACTCTGGAGATGATGATTAAATATACGGGGGCGAAGAGAGGTGTTGTGCATAGTGTTGGGTTTCGGAGAATTCCGGCTTCGAAGCAGCTGGATTTGGAGTTTGTGCCGTTGAGAGGGAGTGAGATTGATGTTGCGATGGAGAGGATTCCTAAGGATCAGATGTTGGGTATGTTGTTGGTTGATTGATTGATGGGTTTGATGTGAGCAGTGTGGTTATTCTTTTTTTTTTTTCTTTTTTTTTTCGTTTTGTCTTTTTTTTTTTCCTTTTGGGAATATAGTATACTACAACTTACCTGAGAATGAGTATAGTAAGTGGCAGAGACGAGCACTCCGCCAGCGAACCCGCTCGTCAATGCCACGTCGACATGACGCTAGAAGGCCTCCGACAAACTCTCCGATACTCCACCACCGAAATCGTAACGGCAGCGAAAAATATCATAGAAGCAGAAGATTTGCGTGCGGCAGGACACGATGTCCCAGTCCCACGATACGCAGCATATAGCGTCTGGGTTTGTCATTTTTCCCAAAATCCTTTCATCTTCTCTCCATGACCCTATTTCAAATCATACCTGACTACCTATACCTACATATAACCAACCCAATCTTTCTTCTCTAGCGCCCCCTAAAACCCGTCCACCGCGACCCCATTTCCATCCTCGACTACCGCACCCTCTCCCCCTCCGAACTCATCCCCACAGAAAATCGCATCCCCAGCGGAATCACTGCCGAAGGAGACTACATTATTCAAGCCTACACAGCCTCTCCCCCCAAACGACCCGAATTGCAGAAATGGTATTGGATGCCCGAGCAGAAACCACATGAAGTGTTGGTGATTAAATTTGCGGATTCGGCTGCTGAAGGGGATCCCGGGGTTGCGAAGTGTGGAGTACATGTGAGTCCGATTTTACCCGGGACGGAAAGGGAGGAGGTTAGGGAGAGTTGTGAGGTGAGGGTGTATTTGTTTTGGGAGTGAAAGGAGATGTTTATAGGTACCTACCTGACCTTAAGGTATATATGTGGTTGGTTGGGGACCTATGTTTTTGGGGAGGAATGTGGTGCCAAAAGTAATGAAAATGGGTTTTTTATTGTGATTGGAATATATCGATGATTGAACTCATGGATATACCTATCTCCAGTGGCAAATGACTCCCCTTTATTTCTTTCTCTTTTTTGCCCCTATTTCACAATTTCCTACTTCACTGACCAACAGGATAATCCTCCAATACAGCAAGTGGAATACGCTTCTTCCTTGTCCCTCTTCCTCCCACCTTACTGCTGCTGCTACTTCCTCCGCCGACATCATCATCATCATCATCATCATTCGACCGCTTTACTTTCTTATTTCCCCTCGAACAGTAAGCAGCATCTACATCGGTGAAGTGATAAGATCTCTTCTTCTCCCTTTCCTTCATCATCTTCTTCATCTTCATCTTCACCGAGGACGATGCTTCTCCTGTAGAAGTCGCAGTACTCTCAGCTTGAGCGGTCTCCCAGAAGGGACTGACAAAAAGGTCATTGGAGTGAGAATTAGCATCGGGGTCTTGCTGTTTATCAAACTCTTCCTTCTCCTGGAATATGGTGGTGGTGGCAAAAGAGGAGGGGTTGGGAGGAGATGACATGGTCGAATAAGTAGTAGGAGTAGAAGTAGAAGACGACGTTGTGTTCTTCGGGAAAGTTGCAGTCGAGGTAATAATGCCACGACTACTCTTCTCTTGATGAATTGTTTTGCTGCGCTTTGTCGATCTTGGAGTGTCGTCTTCCTTAGTCGAGAAGGAGGAGGAGGATAGTAGTGGTAGTGTCGAAGGTCTGAGAATCTTGGTTGCAACTTCTTCGACGCTTCGAGGGAGTGGGACAGCTGTATTGCAGTCGTCTCTTTCTGTTTCTGCTTCTTCTTCATCTTCTTCCTCGTCAAACATCCATGGAATTGAACCCCAAACTTTCGTACTTCTTGGCGTCGGACATGGCGTATCATCATCTGCCATCATCGCAGTGAATGGCAGACTGGCATACTCGGCATCTTCATTCTTGATGCGTGATTCTTCCAAGTCATGCTCATCGTCCAACTCATCATCAGTCATGTCACGAGTAAATCTGCTCGACATTTGACCCTTTCCCTGAGGACCTTTACCGCGCAATCTAGTGAGAGTACCAGACGAGGTTACCGTACCTTTCATCTTCTTCAACTTCTCCTTCTTCCCACTGTTTCCAAAATTCCCCAACCCATCATCCTCCTCCTCTTCCTCCTGCACCTCATCGCCCTTCACTTTCACTTTCACTTTCCCTTGCTTGACCCCTCCAATCCCCATTGACCTCTTCAACTTGGCAACATGTTCGACAATCGCACGTTTAGTCGGACTTTTATCCTGATCTGTAGCAACGAGAGAAGAAGAAAGAAAAAAAAGGGTCAGTACCTCCTGTCAACCGATATTTATTTTTCCCCCAATGAGATGAATGAATGAACTGAATAAACTAATGGAAACGATTGGAAATGAATCGATGGAGGGGTGTATACCACACACATACCAAGAAAAAGTTCTCGCCACTTCTCTACCAAAACTTCTGCGTCTAGTCTGACAGTCGAAATTACGGCGAGAAGAAGTTTTTGATCCATGTGGGGGGTCCAGGAGATGGGCATTGTTCTTTTTCTTGTTCTTGTTCTTGTTTGGTTGATTGGTTGGTTACGGTTGAAAGGGGAAGGAGGAAGGAAGTTTTGCGGTGGTGGTGGTGGTGTAGTGGAGTGTAGTGTAGTGTGGTGTGGGTGCGAAAGAAAGTAAGATGTGATGGACTGCTGCTGCTGCTGCTGTGTACAGTGTGTAGTGAATGAATGAACGAACGATACATTCATATAATGTTATACTCACTCTCTTTTTCTGATCTGATAAGAGGCGACGAATAGTCGATCGCAGCCCGGGGACGCTTCAATGTCAGTCGGCTGTTGTTGTTGTTGTTATCTTCGACGTGCAGATGTCATGGATATTCCATCCGTCCCCAGAAGCAAGTTGCATATGCGTGAGCGCAATGTATGTGACATGTTGGGGATACAATCGCTCTTATCGTGCGTGAGAGAACGAGAAATGAAACAGGTCGAAAAAGAATATCTGGAATTAAGCTCTGTGCTGTTGAGCTCCCTGGATAGATGCTGCTGGAGGTAGGGATGCTCAGATGCTACCCAGCGCGCCTCACAGATTCACACTGGACTGCAAATGTGCTTCACGCAAGTCTGGACTTGGGAGAACATCGTGGAAATCGTGGATTTTGGGATATCAATGTCGACTTTTGTATATGCTTCGTTGGTAAAAGCAGGAATAGCTATTTGCCTCGTTCAAACGTACACCAAGAAGAAGCGACCGAAAATATGAAAATCTTCCCCAAGTTTCGGATAACGACGATTTTCGCAGAACGCACGAGTATATTGCTTTTCGGGATCCCTCAATATGTAGAATTGGTGATTGTCAAGACTTGAGGATTGATGAATTTGGAATCTGCAGCAGGTGTCTGGGGACGTGAAACATCGCCTGTGTTGTACATAGGAGTCTGGTAAATCTCATATGGCCATGGCAATCCGGGAGTCCAGACGAACGTTGGGGACCAGTATGGGGTGAAAGGATCATCATCTTTCGATGGTGTCATCGAGACATGAGGAGCATTGTCAAAAGGGCATGTCGCATGTGGAGCTGCCTGAAATTTCGACGGCACTTCGAGTGGTCAGCACTAGGAGGTACCGCAAGAATGAGGGCGGTTTTCTTTATGCACACCTGTTTCTCCCTTCACACGAGGAGATTTTTTGGTTGGAGACTTTCTCGTGGGCCTACCAACTTGGCACTTGCCATCGACGAAGGCTTGCTTGAGAGAGGTAACATCCTCCTGAATCAAGCTCATACGATACCGGGCTTGATGAGGGGTGATTCCTAGGACACGAGCCAGAAGAGAAGCAGGCAACTGCGACCAATCTGGTCAGTACGAGGAGTCTGGCAAATCCCAACGCACGCACGCACGTACGGGAGACTTCTGTAGCAGCTCCAGAATCGTGGCATAAGCGATCACCATATCTCTGTATCTCTTCGTCTGGATCTGCTCTCTTTGAAATCGCTTCTTGGTAGATGGTGCCATCTCGAGAGGAGTGCAAACGAAGGGGGGGTCTTGCGTCGCGCCTTGCGTGACCAACATACTGTCACACTGCTGTAGCTAAATAATCGTCTTATCGGTGTCATGTTCGTCGTCTCATGAATCGTGCAGTGTTGCTCCGTTGTCCACAGTGGCTGGGAACGCAAGAAAGTTATGCGCGGAGTCGGCATGCAGCCACGCCCCCTTGTCTGTGCTCTCTGTCTACACTTGATCTCAGTCAATGCACCAGGATGCAGGGTCCGAAAAGAGGATCACAACAATATGAGATGCTGAGAAGAGGTGTAAGTTGGAGATGCACCTGCATGTACCTGTGGGCCATGTCCAGAGTCTGACCAGGCTGGATCAGTGAAGCACAGCTGCTGGTGTGAAAGATGTGCGTCTGGTAGTGCTCGTCCTCGCGCCCTGCCTGGCATGCAAAGTCCAGCTGGTCGAGGAGCGAGCCAGCAAATAGCAGGAAGCGAGACGAGATTGCAGAGAGATTTGTGCGGGTGTTGACGATCTGCGCGCAGTGCGTGTGTGTGGATGCATGAGCGCGCCGAACGAGCCCTCAGAGGATAAATTGCCAGGCCAGCAAATGGACCCTATACTATCCTTGATGCTCTGTTGGCTTTGCCCGCGAGCAGGACAAGTGACGGTCACCGGAAATGGTCGTGTAAGGTATGTGGAGTGAAGTCCAGTACCAAATCACTTGAGGATTCGCTATCGTACCCTTCACAAAGTACCAGATGCTTCTCATGCTGGAAGTCTTCACTGTCCACAAGGGAGCGGTCATGGAGCACAAGAGCTTTGTGATCAGTATTGAGTTCCAGTCCACATTATCTGGCTCGCACGGGGCATCTGTGAGCTCATAAGTGTGTGTGGAAGTCATCGATGGTTGTGCATTGTGCACATTGACATTGCTATTGCCATTACCATTACCATTGCCATCCAGATCTGCTGCCTCATACGCCAAGCCCCACCATGTCGGCCATCAGCAAACTGACAGCTCGTGACCAAGAACTACTCCCACTGGCTTGGCTATGTCTTCAAGGTGAAGTCAAGATCGATTTCCAGAAACTGGCCCGAGAGGGAGGCTTTACCAACGTGGGCTCGGCCTCCAACGCATGGGCACGCATCGCCAAGAAGCTCGCGATTCCCCGGGGAGGCAGCAAGTCGGATAAGAGAGCCAAGTATGAGGCCATGTCGACCATCACGTCGCCGAAGAGGAAGAGGGGGGAGGAGGTGGAGGAGGTGAAGAAAGAGAAGTTCAAGGTGAGGAAGGAAGAGATGGTGGTGGTGGAGGAGATGAAGATGAGGAAAGAGGAGGAGGTGGTGGTGGAGGAGATGAAGGTGAAGGAGGAGGAGGGGGAGGAGGAGGAGGAGGGCCCGGTGAAGAAGAGGGCGCGGGTCAGGCCGAGGATCAAGAAAGAGGCCATCGACGGATCACGTGAGGAAGAGGAAGATACATATCGATTATCATCTGTAAGTGCTTTCCAGCGACGAGCAACTGTTATGGACTTCTAACTAACCCCTTTCCCACTGACTGTGTCGCAGATCTGGTGATATTGATGTACGGATGTCGAGGAGGACGAACAAGCGCCAAGGAAATGCCAAGATGATATACTCCCGTCTCCCGGATCTCTTCCTTTCCTCTCTTCCTTTCTTTCTGTCTTTCTTCCTTTCCTCCACCTCCCTTCCATTCCCTTCCCTTCCACATTGCCTCCTCCGCCAAGTCGTTGCCGCTGTCTTCATCGTCCGTCTCTTGTGCATATATTCCCAGAGTTCTCACATACACCAACTGACAGTCATCTCATCATCGTCCACAATGCTTCTGGTGTATCGCCCTCACCCTGCCTCCTGAGGCATGTCTACTCAATCGCGCAGTTGGGGCCCTCAAGTCACTCGCCTTCTCTCCGTCACATTGGGGCCTCAACCGGCGTCAAAACAGCTCATCTTTTTCCTTCAACCGCATACCGAGGCATTGGGGCGGTACACCACCAGATGCATGCAATCGTGATCAACGCAGCATGTGCTGCAGGGCCTACTAGCTGCATGCTACCATGATGATGCAAGGCCTAGCGATAACACTACCCGACAACGACGATAGGCCGCACGGCGAAAAGGCGCTGTGCCGAGCGCAAGATCAACTATGATATCGACATATTTCTCTTTGAACAGATGCTCGACGTAACTTGTGATACTGTAGCCCTTTCAACATGACCTCTCTTACCGCGACGAAGCACTCTGCCATGAATGGCGTTGCCGCAGATACTAATGCCTCGTGCATAGGGGAGCAAGATGCACTTCAAGACATTGCTATTGACCCCAAAGAGGAGGCGAAACTCTTGGCCAAGCTGGACCTCTTCCTCATGCCCGTGATTATGCTGGTGTATCTTTCGTGCTTTCTGGATCGCTCCAACATTGGCAACGTCAAGGTATGAAGTGGATGGAAGCAGATGTTTCGAATCGCCATCAGCAACTACAAGTCCTAACGTACCACAACAGGTCGCAGGAATGCCCGAGGACATTGGTGCTTCAGCACAAGAGTTCTCCACTGCAGTCTCCATCTTCTATGCGACCTATGTGCTTTCAGAAACGCCTTGGGCGATTCTGCTCAAGAAATTGACTCCCCGACTTCTCCTGACGGGCTTGGCTATGGTCTGGTCTTTGGTCACCATTTTCTCGGGATTCATACAGAACATTGGAGGGCTCTACGCCGCCCGACTCATTCTCGGTGCATGCGAGGGAGGTCTCTTCCCCGGGCTGAATCTCTATCTGACCATGATCTATCGCCGAGAAGAGCAAGCCAAGCGCGTGTCGTATCTCTTTGTCTGTACAGCCATCGCCGGTGCCTTTGGAGGCCTCCTGGCGTATGGAATTCTGCATATGGACGGCATTGGCGGATATGCGGGCTGGAGATGGGTCTACATTATCGAGGGAATCTTCTCGGTTGTGATTGCCATTGTCGTGTGGTTTGGACTGCCGAATGACCCTGGCAAAGCGTACTTTCTCACCACGAAACAAAAGGAGATTATGAGCCAACGACAGATTCAGCGGGCGGCGTACATGGGCAGCGAAGAATTCGACTGGGAAGAGGTCCAGATTGCGATAAAGGACCCGAAGGTGTACATCAGTGGCCTCATCCAGTTCTGTCAGGACATCTTGTTGTACGGCTTCAGCACATTCTTGCCTTCCATCATCAGTGAGATGGGCTACAACTCGTACGAGACACAATACTTGACTGTCCCGGTCTATGCAGTGGGAGGTCTTTCGTTCGTGAGTCTAGCATTCCTCTCGGACAGGTATGAACTCCGAGCTCCCGTAAGTGTCTTTCGATCTTCTGGCGTTCAGAGAACAATTCATCCTCACCTAACGTATGATTTGTGTGTTTCTTCAGTTTTTATTATTCGCCAACATGTTCGGCATCATTGGCTATATCCTCTTACTCGTCACCTCGCTGCCCGTGGGCGTACGCTTCTTCGCGACCTTCCTCTGCGCAATTGCCGTGTATACGGGGCCGGGCTTGAATCTCACCTGGCTCAACGTGAATTCTGCACCACACTACCGTCGTGCCACCTCGATAGGTCTGCAACAGACCATTGGCAATACAGCAGGAATCGTGGCGGGCCAGATATATCGCAAAGCGCCATATCTGCTGGGAAACGGCTTCTCCTTGGGAGCCATCTGCTTTGGTCAATTCGTCATTGTGGCGAAGATGGTATACATTAGATCGTGCAATCGGACGAAAGACAGGATTGCACGTGGTGAGGTGGCGGATAGGAGAAGGGTGAAAACGGGTGATTGGGCATTGGACTTCCGTTATCATCTGTAGCTTGACTGTACGGTAGTCGGGGGGGGACGGCAAACGGGAAGAAGGATGATGCCCAGCCCAGGCCATCTAAAGGTGGTTATGGGATGTTACGACGGCCAAGCTCCTCGAAGCTCGTCCGATTCGCCTATTCCTCAGGTAAGCATGCGTATGCGTATACAGCCGCGGCGGCATCCACCGTGACGCACAGGCAACATGCAACGGTCGGCCCTTCATCGGCATGCCGAGACACTAAGAATATTAGCTGCCAAGTCGCCCCTTGGATCACGACAGACTACACTGTGTAACAGTCACCGTCTCCATCCGCCTTGACCACATTCGCCCTCTCTACCGGCCCTTCTCCACACCAAGTTGCTGGGATGCAAGTCCATCGACTCCATACAGTGCCCCTGACCCCCTGTGGTCTCACTTACGGGGCCTGCCAAGCGAGAGACTTTACCGCATTCCTGTACACCACGTGCCCCCGTGGGAGAGAGAAAATCTGCCCACTTGGCGATGCTTTGCGCTTAGAAACCTCCATGTGGAGTCCCCGGAGTTCCAATGGTGAGACCGGTACCTCCTAGTGGAGGAGGAGGAGAGAGCGGGAGCGAGCGAGCGGGAGAGAGAGAGTAGAACGAGATAAAATGCCATAGAATGTCCGAATTCTTTTTTTTTTTCTTATATCTTCTTCATCACCTCCCCTCCCATTCCCCCCATTCCTCTCTCTCCGTTTGGAGTTGTGAAATAGACCGGCAGGGCTGCGTCTGTCTTCTCTGTATTCCTCTCTCTTGCTGCAGATCATTCTTCTCTGAGATCCAGATCTTTGGGACTGCAAATCACCTCTTCTTCTTCTGGATTGTTCCCGAACCTCTCTCACGACAAGTCGCTCACGATGGGAGGAGGTCTTAATCTTAATATCGACTGGGCACAGCATCGATGGGCTATCTTCTACTGTTTGGTAGCCACCATTGGTGCGCTCTGCTATGGTTATGATGTGAGTTTTCTCTCTCTCTTCTTCCTTTTCTTCATACAGTAGTTTGTCAGATCTTGTCTTCAGCCTTTCTTCTCCCTCTACTACTAGAGACTGACAAAGATCAAAAGACAATCTACTACACAGGAATCCAGGGCATGAAATACTTTGCCCGCGACTACGGCACTCTCGACGCAGACGGCACCTATTCCCTCGGCACGACCTTCCTCTCCGTCTCAGCATCCATCATCTACGTAGGCGAATTCGTAGGAGCCCTAATCGCCGCACCCATCAACGACAAATTCGGCCGCAAAGCCGTCTTCGCCTCGGCAGCAATTAGCATCATCATCGGAGCCATTGTGCAAGTCTGCGCATACAGCATCGAAGGAGTTTTCTACGTGGGGAGAATCTTCGTCGGTCTCGGAGTTGGGCAGTTCACAGCGACTTGTCTCGTTTATGTGGCAGATGTGGCTCCTTCACCCATTCGTGGACCGGCTTTGATGATGTTTCAGTTTATGCAATCGATTGCACAGTTTGTGGGAGCGTGTGTGAATCAAGGAACGGAAACGATTGATGGGAAAGCTCAATATCAACTTCCTATGGGTTTGCTCACGGCTTTGCCCTTGACGATGCTGGTGCTGCTTATTTTTACTCCGGAATCCCCTGTCTGGTTCATGTCGAAGGATCGACGGGATGATGCGAGAAAGGCTTTGATTAAAATCAATCGCAGCACCACGGCTTATGATCCTGAGACGGATTTGAAAATTATTGATGATCAGATTGCTCTGGATCGAGAATTGGCTGCGGGGAGTAGCTGGATTTCGTTGATTACTGATCCTATTGAGCGTCGAAAACTCATCTATGCATGCGGAGTCATGTTTGCACAGCAGGTAAGATCTCGCTCGTCCTTCTTCTTCTTCTTCTTCTTGACACAAAAGAAAACAAGTTCCAACCAAAAAAAAAAAAACATCCCAAACTAACCTCCTCCCTCTCACTCCAGATCAACGGCATCCAATTCTGGTACACCTACGGCGTCGTCTTCGCGCAATCCATCGGCGTAGGCGAACCCTTCACCATCAACACCATCATCTACGTCGTCCAAATCCTCACCGTCGGCTGCTCCGTAATCTTCGGCAACAAAGTCAACCGCCGCACCAACCTCCTCGTCTGCACCACCGGAATGTTCATCTCACTCATCGCCGTCGGCGGTCTCGGCGTGACAAAAGATTCTGAAGGAAATTTCTCCCGAGGAATCGGCATCGGAATTGTGGTATTCGCATACTTCAATATCGTGTTTTACAACTTCTCCATTGGAACACTGTCGTATACGATTGCGTCGGAAATGGCTGTGGGGAGGAATCGGAATAAAATTACTTCGTGCGCGTTGGGGACGTTCTTTTTTACGGTGTGGTTGATGGTGTTTACGAGTCCGTATTTGTATTATGATGCGGAATTGGGGCCCATGGTCGGGTTTGTGTATGCGGGTACGACGTTGATTACGCTTGCGTATTCGTGGTTTTGTGTGGGAGAGACGACGGGGAGGACGAATGCGGAGTTGGAGAGATTTTTTATCGAAGGCATTCCGGTGAGGAAGTGGAAGACGCATGTTTTTGAGCCGCTGCCTTCGACGGAGCAGCGTGGGGAGGAGGATTTGGAGGATGATGAGGTTGCGTTGGAGAAGGATCGGAAAATGGGTGTGGCCGCGCAGGTGGAAGAGAAGGTTTGATTTTTTTTTCTCTTCCTCTCTTCCTCTCTTTTGATGATGGATGGATAGATTGATGAAAGGGAATGAAATGGATCATGAATATCATGGATAGATGTATAGACGATCTATATATGCACATATATTCCAAAAAGAAAGTGAGCAACAACCACTCACTCTCCACTTGTGCTTTAATGGCAGTTATAAATCCCCTACCAGAGAAGAAACATCATCCTCTTCCCCCTAAATTCCATTCCATTCCAAAAAGAAGAAGAAAAGAAAAAAGGAAAAAGAAAATCATCATAAATTCCCCCTCCCCTCCTGCTCCCTCTCAATAGCCTCAAACAAACTCCTAAAATTCCCCGCTCCAAACCCATCGAAATTCTCCCTCTGAATAACTTCCAAAAACACCGTCGGTCGATCCATCAAAGGTTTCGTAAACAATTGTAACAAATATCCCCCTGCATCAAAATCAATCAGAATATTCAATTCTCGAATCTTTTCCCAGGATTCTTTAATCTGTAATCCTCCTCCACCTCCTCCAGACTCCTTGTTCTTCTTCGTCGTCGTCGCCGCCGTCGTCATCGTCGCCCCCGCTTGAATAATCCGACTATACATATCTTCATAATAACTCTCAGGCACAGAAATAAACTCCACCCCTCGCTTCCGCAAATTCGTCACCGCATCAATAATATTCCCCGTCCTCAAAGCAATATGTTGCACACCCGGACCATTATAAAAATCAACATATTCTTCAATTTGACTCTTCTTCTTCCCCACCGCAGGTTCATTAATGGGCATTTTGACGATGCCGTTGGAAGAACTCATGACGATACTGTTGAGAGCGGAATATTCGGTACAAATTTCTTTGTCGTCGACGGACCAGAAACGGTGGAATCCGAGACATTGTTCGTAGAATTCGCAGGCGGAGTTCATTGAGTTCCAGTCTTGGTTGCCGACGCAGTGGTCGATGGCGGAGAGGTGGATTGGGGGGAGGTAGGAGTTGGTGGGTTCGGGGAGGGTGATGGGGCGATAGCCGGGGAGGAAGGGGCCGGTGTAGGTGCTTCGTTGGATGAATGTGTGGGTGGTGTCGCCGTATGTTCGGATGGAAGCGAGAAGAACAGAGCCTTCACTGTCCGAGGTTTCGACACGGGGCGGTGAGACGGATGTGGCGCCGTTGGATATTGCACTCTGGTAGACGGCGTTGACGTCGTCGACTTCGAAAGCGACGTCTTTTACGGCGTCGCCGTGTTTGTCGAGATGATCATGCATTTCGTCCAGAAGGGCTTGATCTTCGGGGAGCGCCTTCTTTACCGTCTGTCGCGAGGAAGAGCGGACGGGTGATGTGAAGACGAAGCGAATGTCACCGTTCTGGACGACATGCGAAGCAATAAAGCGGGATCCCGTCTCGAGACCTTTGTACGCTACTGGCTGGAAACCCATCCGCGTGATATAAAACTGTCGATGGTTGTTACTTCACATGTCATACTATCTGTGGTCTATCATACCATACCTGAGCAACTTGCTTGGCATTGCTGACCCACCATGTAACATGATCATAGCCCCTGTACTCGACCTGTCCCGGTGGTGCCTGTGCAGCAGTGTCTGTCCCGTACAGCGGTGACGTCCGGCCACTCGCGGTCGTAGCGATGAGAGCGCCTGGTGCCATCTTGAAGTACCTCGTGCTACGCGGAGTGTGCGGTATGCAATTGTTGTCCAAGCAGATCGAGCTGTGAGTGATGGAAAGTGCGTTGGTTGGCAGACGGAAGTGGTCCAAGAGATGGAGGTTCAGACAGCGAAGGTCTTGTTGATGTTGGCCTAGATGTACCCAAGTCCACACTTTCATGTGCTCTTGCTCGGTACATGTACTTGGAGACTTGTAGACTCGGACCCAGGACTCCTTACGCTTTCCGGTCATCTTACTTCGGCTTTGCCTTAAACCGACCGCAAGAGACGCGGCTTAAATTTGAGCCGCGCTCCACCCTTCGGCTTCCCAAGGTCTCAGTCGGGTCTGGACATTGCTGATCTCCTATTTTATGCTCCGAAGCGCACTCTGTCGCCTCGAGGGCTGGCATCACACACAACCGCTGTGCTCCCCATCAATCCCCGCATCCTTTTGAAACCAGGTGAACATGGCCATGAATCCACAGCTTTCCAGAGCCGACTCCGCAGTCTTGGCGCAAGTCTTCGATCCAGAGAGTGCACCAACCCGAGCAGAAGTGCTGATCGATCCGAGCTTGCCAGAAGACCGCCATATTCGCGACGCGACGCTGCTCGGACAGCTGCGACGTCGTGAGAAGGAGGCGATATCCATCATCGAAGACTTTGAAAGAAACAAAGCTCGGTTCCCTGACGCAAAGGAATCCGCCAAGGATGCTGCATATCGAGCTGCTCGCACTTCTCTGGATGCTTTGATCGCGGAGCATCCCGAGTATGCTTCTGCGAAGAACAACAGAGCACAGATGAGGAGGTGGATGTTCGGTGACAGGAATACCCTCGTGCAGCCCAAGTCTCCGCTCTACGCACAGCAAGGCGCAGAAGGCTTGGCAGATCTCCACGCATGTATAGCTTCGACATTGCCAGCAGGACAACAAGATGCGGTATCGCCAGCCCAAGGAAGGTTGCTCGCTCAGGCATACACCCAGCTAGGCGCTCTCTACTACGCAGCTGCAAAAGACCTGGAGTCCGAACATAAGGTCGATGTAGTCGAGATCGATGGCATGAAATGGTGCCATGCCCGATTCGAAGAAGAAGCGTCCCGAGCATTCTACCTGGGCGGCCTATATGGGAATGAGGTAGCCAAAGCATTGGCTGTGCATACCAATCCGCACGCGAAGCTGTGTGGCAGCATTGTGAAGGAGGCCATGCGCAAGGAGATGGACGCGTTTTGGTAGAGATCCTCATAGTCCCGCACATGAAGTCCCGATAGAAGGCATTCTTGATGGATGCAGACATCACCTCATCTGAACCATGTCCAGCTTTCCCTCCCACCTCTTGAGATTGCCTTGTTCGAGCATGGTGAGATGGAACATGTTCACAGACAGCTGACCGTACGAGCTGCTACTACCTGTTCCAGTTGATGCCAAAGAGTTTGCCGGCCTTTGCTTGCTGCAGCGCACTGGCGTTCTCCAAGTAGACTCTCTGTTCTCCCGGTACGTCCAGTGCGAGCAGCTGGTATTGGAAGTCTTCGCCCGGTCGTCTCGACATGTGCAGTTGCACTGTGCCATTTGCTTGCTTCCCTGAGACGTAGAAATGCTTCGACACGTTAGCCCTTGAGATTATGTGCAAAGTCCAGTCCGACCACACCCACCATGTGCAAATGCTCCACGCCAGCCCGATCAGTTTCCAGCCGACTGGCAATGACCCGATTCCTCGCCCATCGACTCCAGCTCGGCTCGCCATGTGCTTCGATGTCTCTCTTGCTCGCCCTCTCATCGCCCGTCAACAGTTTCCTGCACTGTGCATCGGCGCGTATTCGGTCGGCAGCGCGGTTGAAGTAGGCGGTCTTGCTGTCCGTGGAGAAGACTTCGAGCCAGAGGACGGTAGCTACGGCGCCAGTGAGTCCCACGCCGAGTAAGACGATGCCCAGGTTGAAGGATTGCTGCGTGGTGCGGGCGGCCTTCTCGCCCAAAGAGAGCTCTTTCCAAGGAACAGCGCCCGTGTCGTTGACAATGGTTACAGCTCGTCGGCGTGAGGAGGACGCGGCATCCTTGGGGAGGGAGGAGGAGGTGGTGGAGGAGGAGGCGTTGCGGCAGCGTAGTTGAACGACAGTAGGGTGTGCGGGTGTGAGTGCAGAGCGCACCCCCGACTGGAAGCCTACGAGAGGCGTCACCCTGCCCATCGAGAGCTTCAGGAGTCGTTGTTCCAGCATTCTCGCGCGGTCTGTCTCTCAGGCAATGATCATGTAACAGCGGCAACATTAATCTTCGTCCATAGGTACCTAGCTTTGCAGAGCTGGTTGTCTTGGCATTGCAAGCTAAAAGTGGGGACCTGTCCTTTTCTCGGCCAAGTACACATTGACAAAGCACCATCGATGGATATTTCAAAGAAAACATGACCACAACAGAATCGCAGCATCTCCTGCGCGTCTTGCAAGACCGAAACATCGCTCTAAGCGAAGCCGATGTTGTTTCCGCCTTCCAAAACAAGACTACCCGCGACAAGGCCACCTCCTGGGCCAGGGAATATCTGGGCTCAGCCACGCTTCTCACCAAAGAAGAAGTCCGATTTTATGAAAGGCAGGGGGGCAGTGCCGTCTCGGACAGTGTACCTTATGGCCGGCCGCTCGACGACGACGAGCTCGAGGCTGCTATCGACTCCCTCGAGGCGAGCACTGCAGCCATAGACCGACAATGTCAGATCATGGAGCAGCAAAAGGTTGCTCTGCAGAAGCTGAAATCGCAAAACACTCACAGCGACTCGTCATTTCTCGCGCAGGAGAAACGATTACAGAAATATACTCGGGAGAAAGCACAGCTGGATTTTGAGATTGATGAGCTGTCCGCAACAACCAAGGACCGCCTGCGAACCTGTATGAAGCAGACCGACGCGACCACGGGAAGTCTGGATGCCAGTCTGAACCGCCTGCTGGAGAAAGATGATCGGCTTATTGACGGCCTTCAAAAACTGCTCCCAAAGCTCGCGGACACGGCTCTGGACAGGGATGAGACGCAAGAAGTCGAGCAACTGTGTGCCACCCTGACAGACTTATCCGTGAGCAGCATCCGATCCCGACTGGATAGCACCTATCGCCAGACTCTACTGGAGTACACCCGTCGTCAAAAGTCCACATCGATGACGCTGACCGACCAACAAACCAAACAACGTGAGACTCTCCGCGCCGAACTCGAGGAACTCGGTGGCGAGATTGAAGGGCTGGTGACCATTGTTATTGACAACCAATACCGCAAGTCCCTCAAATCCGGCTTGACATCTGCTCGATCCGAAGGTCACGCACAGAAGGCCAAATGGGCGGAATTCACAGTTACCGCATTAGTCTATCTGAAAGATCGACTGGACGCAATCAGTGGCCATGTCCAGCATCTGCACGCTCATCGTGCAGCATTGCGATCCATTTCTCGCACATTGGAGGAGGCAATAGCAGTCACAGAGCAAGCCCGCCCTGGTGCAGTCAACAACAACACCCCTTCCACACCCACCAACCGTGACCGACAAAACGCCGCAAAAGGTCTCAAACCCCTCCGATTAGTCCAAGCGAATATATCCGAGACCCAAGATCCCGTCATCTCCTTTCTCCACGAACACAACATCCGAGTAGGAGGAGGAGGCGGAGGAGGAGAATCAGCAGCAGCAGCAGCAGCAGATCTGAGTAAACTCACCCCTATCCTCGACGCCGCCATCTCCAACCAGACTGCCACACTCGACGCGCTACAAAAAACCACCGAGGAGACCATGACCACATCTATCCTACAATCTCTTGCCAAAAGTGATGCGGATTTACATGCTTTGCTGAGCGCCGTGTATGCCTCCTCACCCTACGGCGAAATCAAGCTGATTGATGCGCAAACGCAAGTAGCATTAGAAGAATTGGAGCATCAGACGCAATGTATTGGCGATGAAATGCGGGAATTGGATATTGAAGGCATTGCGAGGGCGGTGAAGAGGAAACAGGAGGAGGCGTTGAAGAATATGAGTTGAGTAACTAGGTATGTACCTGGCGGGGGTCAGGGTTAGGTGGGTAAGGTAGGTAGGATTATATCTGTTTTTACCAGACCTTATACGTCTTCCGTATACATCGCTAAGGTAGGTACTATGGATGTATCTCACAAGACCCAGTGGAGGTCCTAACTCCCAAATTCAATCCTATGCATTACACACAATTCATAAAGGTACCTACCTCAAGAGGTGAGTGTATATACCTCCTATGGGTTGACCAGGTTCAGTAAGGTATATGTCCCTCTCTTTCGGAACCTGCATAACATCCACCCCCCTCAAACAAACACATACACACACACACACATACAAGGTCAGGTACCTCGAAAAAAATAAGATTTCTTCGCTCACTCACTCTACTCTCCACTCTCTCTACTTCGTACTGCTGAGAGCCCAGAGCCCAGAGCCCAGAGAGCCTAGAGAGCCTAGAGAACTAGAAGCTAGGAGCTAGGTTGAATATACCTCTTAATACGAGAGAGAAAAGAACAGCCGTCTTTACCTTATTTACCTACGTTTTCCTCTAGACTTTACCTAGTCAAACGGTAAGACTCTTAAGTAGCTAGGTAGCTGGCTTACTCTAACCCCTCTTTCTTACTCCTCTACTCTTTCTCTCTCTCTCTCCTCTTCTCGTATTTGTCTATCGTATTAGTCTATCGTAGAAAACACCTGACCTAAAAGAAGGGGATTAGGATTTAGGATAGTATCTCTCTCTCTCTCTCTCTCTCTCTCCTACCTCCTAGGAGGAAAGAAAAGATAGAAAAGAAGTAGAATTAATTCAACTTAAGATTCTATCTAAAGGTTGTTTCGATATACTGCTTGTTACTATCTCCTATTACTATCTCTCTCTCTCTAGATATTTATTATTACAAGCTCTTCGCGTATCTTTTTTTCTCTACAAAAAGTAGGTACGTGCCTCCTTTACGTATATACCTTTTGATTCTGCTTTTGCTTTTTCCTACTATGTTTCGGATGATTTGTTATTCCCTACTTACGTTACGTTACCTCCCTCCTTGCCTCCCTATAGGTACCTCCCTCCCTCTCCAAGTATATACCTCTACCAAACAGACAAGAAAACAAACATTCAATCCAGGGACCTGTTAGTGTTAGTGTCAGTATCAGAGTCAGCACCGCCATGCCAAATAAAACAATTCCAATTTTATACATGTACCTCCTAACATTTGAATTTCCATACCTCCTACCTCCTACTAATAAACAAGGCACATCCACAAGCCTTCCCCGCACTTTTTCCCCAGACTTCAGGATCGACAACCTAAAGACCCTAGTCAGTACCCAATCCCGCCCGCTGATCTCCTTTTTAAAGTTTAGCGTTTTCTCGTTTCTCCTCACACGCCACGCCTCCTTGTCCCATTCCGACCGACGAGAGGGGGGGAGAAGGGAGATTGATTTTTTTTGTGCATGCAATCTTCACATTTTATGCTTATCACTCACTTACTTATTTTCTTATTTTTTGTTTTTTAATACTTCCGTACGTCCGCCTCGCTCTCACGCGAAACTCAAACTCAAACTAAAATTCGGATACTCCCGTTCCCGTGTGTGCAGCGGCATCATCTTGCTTGATGGATGGATGGGTGTGCATGCATGGATGGACGGACGGATGCAGCATCTCGAGTTGTACTGGAATGGCGGACGATGTTATTAATGGAGTGGGTGGTGAGAACAGAAAAACCAGCTCGTCAACAATTCCTCCTCCTCCGATGATGATGATGAGAAAAAACCACCCACAGATCTACCTCGAGGCGATACTCCATTAGCGTAATACGTGGTATGACAATCGGCCGCGCCAGCCGAACGGAGAGCGGCTGGTTGGCTTCGAATGCCTCTGTATGGCGACTCATTATTCGTCAGGTACGGGGGGGCCAAGAGTCCCTTTGACCCGTGCGATCGGTGTTGCGGAGAGAAAGAAGACAGACTCACACTCTCACACAGAGAGAGAGAGGGTTAGACTTCTCCAGCGCCATTCCTGGTCGGGGATAGCTCAACACAGCTTTTCCCACAGCTTCCCACTTCCCCAGCTGGGGCACCGACGACGATTGGCAGTCAGCCGACGCGTTTCCTGTGCGTGTGAGACTTTTTCTTTTCCTGACGAGCGGCGGTGTTCCATCATCATCATCATCATCGTCAGCTCCTCCTCTCCTCTTGCAGTGAGTGGTCTGAGCGGTCCGTCGCCAATGCGTGCGTGCGCGCGTATCACGGACTCCCGGTGCCAGTCTCCCGCCCGCGCATCTCTCCCTCTGCCCTCTCCCTCTCCTCTCCCTGGGGAGAGGGACATGGTGCGGTGCGGAGCCGTCGTGATCTGTGCGTTTGATGCAGCTGTTCATAAGATACTTGTTCTCGCCCTGGTCTTCTTCGTCTCGTCGTATCTCCTGTCTTGATCCATTGTTCACTTACTGATTGTGGATTGCTGGCTTCCCCGTTCGTGCGGTGCTGTTATCATATTGATCCTTGCACCACGCCATCGCCGTGGACAATCACATCATCATCTTCATCATCATCATCACTATACCAATCCCAGACTCGTCCATCATTGATCTATCGCAAACATGTCGACCACCACAGACACCTACCAGGCGACGCAGAACAACGCGAATTTGACTGCTCCCGCCCCCAATGCTATGGGCGTCCACGATCCCTTGGAGAAGGATTTCGAGAACGGTATGTGTGACACTCACGCAGGCAAGCCGGGGAACTTGAGCGCCAGCAGCGCAACCATGAGCTCGCAAGGTACGACTTCATCACTCAATGTTTTCGAGCCACTCGGCGAGAATGAAGTGGTCGTTTGTGTGGCAGTGGGCTGCATCGATATCAGATGGTTCAGGAGTGTTCGCTCTGTTGGCAGCAGCAATGCTTTCGGGCAACATGCTGTGCCGGCAGCTGGTCGAGAGTCTGGTGCTGACAAGATCTTCTTCTTCCAGGTTATCATCTGGACAACAACATGGACCCAGACACGGCGTTGAGGAAGATCCAGACATCGGGCAGCATCTCCATCTCACCCGAGCTCTTTGAGAAGATTTACCTGTCGCCTCAGAACAAGGTCGCGGGAGATTTGCGAAAGACATTCGGTAACCCGACACCTCTGTAAGTCTTTCTTACTTGGGCATTCGTTCAAAGAGAGTCCCCTCACAGGCTGCTGCTGACTCGATTGACAGCGCTCTGGTCGGTTTCTTGCTCTGCCTCAGCCCATTGTCTTGCGACTTGATGGGATGGAGGGGAGCGGGCGGTAATGGCGCAGCATCCACGGGCGTCTACTTCTTCTTTGGTGGCCTCCTCATGATTCTGGGTGGTTTCGGAGAGTTCATTCTCGGCAACACCTTCCCCTTTGTCGTCTTCTCCTCGTTTGGCGCCTTCTGGCTCGCCTTCGCCGCCACCCTGCAGCCCTTCTACAACGCCTATGGCGCATATTCTCCCGACCCGACCATGCCAGGTGAAGGGTTGAACACGGTGGGATTCAATGCCTCATTCGGTGCGTCACAGAGCGGCAAAAACAGAAGACGAGAAGTGACGATGACCACACGCTAACTTGAACCCCTCCTCACAGCCTTCTTCCTCGTATTCATGGGTGTCTTGTGCTTCCTGTACATGGTGCTCTCCGTCCGAACCAACCTGGTCTTCTTCCTCATCTTCTTATCCCTCGTGCCCGCCTTCGGCCTGCTCGCAGGCGCATACTGGACGCTCGCCAAAGCAGCAGAGGCCACGGCGGCCGGAAACACGGCGTCGGCCGCGAGCCACATGTCGAATGCCAACACCTACACCATCACGGCCGGCGCCTTTACGTTTGTTACCTGCATGTTGGGCTGGTACATTTTCTTCGCCATCATGCTCGCCGCCCTCGACTTTCCCTTTCAACTTCCCGTCGTTGACTTGTCGCGCTTTGTCAAGGGTGCGTCGGATCGGGCCAAGGCGAAGAAGCAGTATGAGGCTTAGAAGAGGCGAATGGGAATTTTTGGTTGTTGTTGATGTTGATGATGATGATGATGTTGTAAATAATAATATGATGAATGATACCACACTGCACGATGTTTATGAGCAGGAAAAGAAAAAGAGGAAAAGTAGGTAAGGTAGGGTAGAATTGGAAGATTCTCCCCGAAAAAGAATGAAGAGACGTCAAAACAAAGTCTTAGTACTATTTGTTCCTCCTATTCCATGTCATTGATAAGAAAATACCAGGAGAGACAGTAGAAGAGAGGGCGGCCGCGGGCGGCGAGTTTTCTGTGTTTACCGGCTTTACCTTTTGCGGTAATCCGGGGGAAAACTACCTAATCCAATGAAATTCGAGACGATGAGGTCTAAAAACGGTCTTAAACTCTATATAAAAAAATACCTCTGTCTCCAACACCAACCTCTATAGCAAATGATCAGCACTTCCATTTCATCATATTACCAATCTACATATACAGCCACCCCGCACATTGATAGAATTAGAAAAAGTCAGGTAGGTACCTCTCAAGCGGTAACGTACTACCTTATACCCATCTCTCTCTCCTCCAGGAGGTATATCCCTATCCATTCCCCCTCTATACATCTCATCAATCAACCAAATCAATCAATCAATCAATCAACCAAAAACCCCCCAAAAATGTCCTCCCCCACCCCCAAACCCAAAAAATTCACCCTCCACTTCCTCCAAGCCTCCCGCAGCATCCGAACCGCCTGGCACCTCGAAATTCTCCAGATTCCATATGAAGTGAAATTTTCTCCTCGGACGGGAAATAATGGTCCTGCACCGTTGGAATTTAAAGCAGCGGCGGGAGGGTTGGGGAAGTTTCCGACGTTGGAGGTGGAATATGAAGGAAATAGAGATGGAGAGGGGAATGGGGGAGATGGGGAAGATGGAGATGGGGGGGATAGGGAAAGGAAAAGGGAATTTTTATATGAGAGTGGGAATATTTGTGAGTATGTATTTTACCTTTCCTTATCCCAAAAAATAAAGAAAAAAATTCAACAAGTAACCGCTTTTTCTTTCTAGATATCTCTCCGACACCTTCGACCCCCAAAACACCCTCCATCTCCTCCCTCCCCCCGGCTCACCACTCCGCTACAAAACTCTCCAATGGATCCACGCCTCCGAAGCCACTTTTTTGCTGCATGCTCTCGCATGTTTATACGTCCAATGGCATCAACACGATGGAGATGTCCAAAAGACTCTACAAGGACTCAGTGGGAATGTGGTGAAAGATTTGGATTATTTAGAGGGAACATTTCGTGAACAAGAAGAAGAAGGAGGGGGATTTATTATGGGAGGAAAAAATATCACCGCAGCGGATATTATGATGCAATTTTCTGTGAGATTTATTTTGACGAGGGAATTGGGGACACAAGGGGTGGAGAGGGGAAGATGGGAGAGGGTGGAGAGGTGGTTGGAATTGTGTGAGGGGACGGAGTCGTATCAGAGGGCGGTGGAGAGGACGGGATTTCGATTGTAGAGTTTGGGGGGACTTTTTCGTGGATGTGTAGTGTCTTCTCAGTATGGATGTCAAATTTGGAAAAAAAAAAGAAAAAAGAAAAAAGTTTGCATTGACATGTACCTTTACTTACCCATCACTGCATCTCTACCTGCAACGCAAAGAAAAAAAAAGGTCAAGTTAATAGGACACGCCATTACTCACTAGCCCTCGCTGTACCATGTCCTGCACACTCTGCCAATCACTACTCACCGTCGTGAGATTCTCATACCCATCGGCAGTAATCACCACATCGTCCTCGATCCTCACACCTCCCACTCGCCAGTACTTCTCCAACACCTCCTGATCCACGATTCCATCCCACTTGCCATCTTTCAATTCCTGCCGCAATGGAAATTCGCGAAAGTATATGCCAGGCTCATTGGTGATGACGGCGCCCTCAGGCAGCGGTCCGCGTTTCCTCAGATACACAAAGTAGGGATTCGGGTCCTCGTAGTTGGCGTGGCCACCCGTGTCGTGAGTGTCCATGCCGAGGTAATGCCCCAGACCGTGCGGAAAGAAACGAGTCATAATTTGAGACTCCATGATCTGCTCCAATGTGAGGCTTTGGTGGAGGATTCCGAGCTTCTGTAAGCCTATTGCTCCAGTCGTGTGGGCTTTCATGTGACACTCCTCCCACATGGTTCCCGGGCGCATGAGCTTGAATGCTTCACTCTGCATGAGTAGAACGAGTTCGTAAATCTCTTTGCTCTCTTTGGTAAACTTGCCATCCTTGGTGATGGGGAATGTCCGGGTAATGTCGGCGCAGTAGCAATTGTACTCTGCGCCTGCATCGAGGAGAATGTTGTCCTTGCCCTCGAGCGGCTGGTCGTTGTGGGTGTAATGTAGTGTGCTTCCTGCCTTTCCAGAAGCACAGATACAGCCGTATGCCATCTCCTTGCAGCCGTTGGCATGACAGTGCATGACGAAAAGAGCGTTCAGCTCACGCTCGTTGGAAGCACGAGGAACGGACGCGAGCACTTGTTCATGAGCATAGGAAGAGATGATGTTGGCATGCCGGAGCATGGCGATTTCATGCTCGTCTTTCACCACTCTGCACTCCTCGATGGCTTCACGCAGATGATCGAGATTGACTTGGACCTGCACGTCCTTCAGAGGCGCAGTGTCGAAGACACTCAGATCTGCGCGATCTTTGATTGCCAGAATGGTTTCTTGTTTCGATAACATCTCTGCCAGAGACTTTCCGGACTGGAGATCATCCGTGGTCAGCACGCGGTCGACATCGTATCGATCCATCGCCTGCTTGGGCAGCAGAGGCATGCCGGCCCACATGACAGACTCGGGGTCGACGGGAGGAATCCACAAGGTGGCGGTATCCGTGGCAATGTGATACGCATACGAGCAGTCGGGAAGGTCGCATCCGGTGAGGTAGTAGAAGTGTCGGCGTTGTCTATACCTTTATCAGTAGCTACCTTATGGATGGCACAGGGCTAGAAACCGCATACCGGAAAGGAGCTTCTCCATCGTCGTCCTAATATGCATCATCTCGTCAGCTCGCATGCCTCCCGACGGGAACATCAGCATGAAACCCATACCTCTTTCATCTTCGTGCTCTGTCCCTCGAGATATATGACCCCACTGCTAGGCCCTCCATGGTCGGCGACGTACTTGGCGACTCGTCTCGCATGAGCCTTTGCCGGATACTTGCCTGGAGGCGGCTGAGGCAAGTCGGGATTGGCAATTGGCCGAGGAGTCATTTTGTTCTTGGTCATGGTATAGATGCGGAGGGATCAATGTGACAGCCGCGGTCCAGATCAAAGTGGTCCAGCAGGTGAAGTCACTGTTAAAGCAGCATGGGTGAGCTAAGCATTCGGCAAACGAGATAGAGTAAGGTATGGCTACCAGCGGCCTACCTCCTACTGTAGTCCGGCGCCCGCCGCTTGGATCTGGAGCCTGAGGCATCACAGAACCACCAACATGGCATATACCTTCCAGGTAACTACACGTACCTTCACTAGACATGGGACCTCGATTCTCGTACATCCGCGTGGACAAGAAAATCACAGTACGAGACGTTCTTCCACGTACATGCATATATGTAGAACTACAGGAGTCCATTGTCAAGACTCTTCTCATCTACCGCCCAGGGAGGCAGGCCCCTTTGCACACTACCTCCTATATGTAGTTCCATAGACCAACTCCTGAACCACCTTGGCGGCCTGTGCGCTATCCATCGGATCCTGATTAGGACTCCGGCCCAACTCTTCATCAAATCCCTTCACCCTCGATGGCGACCTTGCCAGTCTCGTATCAGGCAGACTGTAGCCATAATTCGCTTCTTGACCCGGTGCAGGCCGGCGCAGGTATGCTGTCTGCGCAGCACTGGCGAATGACTGCCTCTTCGCTTCATGAATGGCCTCCACCCGGTCCCTCTTCACGGCAATAGCCTCTTTGTCACCTCGGGTCACGTCAAGCCTGATTCGTCCTGCTTCGTCAATATGAGCCGTCTTGGGGTGCACCCAGATTTTATTCCCCCCCAGCAAGTTCTCGTCCAAGGCCGTGACCATGCGGTTCGCGTCGAGATAGTGTTCTTCTCTTTCTTCTTCGCTATATTCTGGCTTGACTTGTGTTCGGTCGGGAGCACTCATGGTAGAGCTGATCGCATCATTGGTGACAACACCTCCCACGCCGATCTGAGCTTGGGCACCGGCGTACATCGCATTGGTTCGAGGGCTCAGGACACGGGCTTTGACTGGAGCACGGAAGGCTTGAGGTCCCCAATAAGGATGGTTTTCCATGAAGGCGTCCGTGCGCAGGTGAGAGAGACCGGCACCGGGATGGGTGGAAGGTGGTCCTTGGGAGGCTGTCAGGCTGCTGATTTGATCTCGGAGGAGTGGCGATTGAGCGAAGTTTTGGCGATTGAACCGGATGCCTGGTAGATCGAGAAAGTCGCATATAGCTGCAGTGAGCTCCGAACCCAAGTTCTGTACCACATGATCATCTCGCATCTTCTTTTCCTCGTTCTCGTAGTTCTCCTCGACTTCCTTGCGCAGCTCTTCAATGCGAGCTGTGTCGATTGATGTGCCCTCGCCCTTCTCACGGTTGGCCCTCTCCTCGTCACGTATGCGCCGTTCCAGTATCCGCTTCATCAGGAACTGGCGGAACTCGGCCTTTCTCCTGCTGAGCTTGCTGGAGATGTACTCGTCAAATTCGCTCTCCTGCATGCCCGGTATCCATGGTCCGTCAAACTTCCACCTCTGGTTTATCTTCTCAGTCATGCCAGCCATAGAGCCTTGTCGTAGTCTGCGCGGGGTCCTCTGGAGTGCATCCACGGCGTCGGGGTCTGTGATGTCCAGGTTGTCATCGTAGACGCTTTGCGGCGATTGACCATCGCCGGAAAAGGTCGTTCGTGCGTTCTTGTTCATGATCGGAATGCCCATTTGTCTCCATTTTGCCTCGGTGAGGACGTGGTCTGCGGCACTCTCAAACTCGGTAATATGCTGGGTGTTGTCCTGCGCTCGAATGCGGATCACAGGCGTCGAGCTGCGAGCCGTTGTCTTTCGCGGAATCGGTCGCTTCAGTCCCCAGTCTCCACGAAAGTGCGATGAAGCGGGCGTGGCAATGGCCTGGTGCGTGGGATAAGGGAGCGTGGCCGTCTCTGATGCCCTGTAGAGGCCCGATGCGGTGGCAGGATCCAATGTGGCCGGAGGAAGAGGGCGAGGGAGGGAGAAGAGTCGCGACGACTGCAGCAGCCGCGCTGTCGGCGAGTGCAGTGACTTGGACATGACCCCGAGCAATGCTGTGTTGCACTCCTCCCACTGTGCTGCACGACACTGACGGGACTGTTCAGTTCTGTTCTGGGTGGTGGTAAGTAGCACTAGACGGCGTAGTTCACGATGGGTTGAAATGTGCCAAGGGCATCACCGAGTCTCGCCGCACTCTCTACCACTAGCTTAGACACGACTACCAGGTACCAAACATCACTGCAACCGGGAGAACATGAACATGAACAACGTCTTTGGGGGTGTGTGAGTGTCAGCAACACGGATACATTCGTGACTCTGTCAACTTCTAAACATTAATCTGCCACTCTTCGTTCTCACTGGCATCGCAAAGTAGGGCAGTCCATTCCTCCCAAACAGCCTCTCCCACCCCGGCTTCACTCTCCCCATCTCATATTCGAATTCAAACGGCCCATGATACGACTGAGTCTTCCCGCTAGATATTGTCGTCCAGGAATCCGCCCCTGTCGAGTCTGCTGAGCCAGGCGGGACTCGACACGGTGGCGGCGGTCGAGGCAACGTCGGAAATGGCGGCGGCACAGTCTGCGTTTCTTGTTGCTTTTTGCGGACATTGTCCAGTTGCTGCATTTTTTGCTGCCGATTCTGTCGTTTGAGTAAAGACAGCATCAGTAGAAACAGGAGTATCATGATTATTGGTACACCGAGGCCGATGCCCACCCCGACGCCTAGTGTCGTCTCATGGGAGATACCAGAACTGGATTCTGCTGCAGCGGTCGACGATGTAGTGGGCGTCGCTGCTGCTGCTGCTGCTATCTGGATCAAAGTGGATGGAGCTGTCGGCGTACTGCTTGCTGATATTGACGAGGAGGTTGAGGAGGACACTGGGACTGGCTCGGGATGCTCCACGTGAAATGTTGGACTGCTCGCCACACACGCATCACAATCATTTGGCTGGTCGCCCTTTTGCAACCGGAAATGGTATGCATCTGTCGGTGCGCTCGGTAGAGCCCACATGTATGTCGTTGTGTCTCGCGTCAAGTTCGCTACATTCGCAATCAGTCACTGGCTTCACCGCGTATTGGATCGATCTCAAGCAGGACTCACCACCAAGGACATTCACCACAAAACTGCCATCGTCTGCTGGCCCCAACCACACCTCGAGATTCGTCAAGTCGTACGGCGTGTTCCAGGCAATGGCGACTTGCTCTCCAGATCCAGTGTCAGACAGGATTCCAGTTGGTGGTGAGACGAACCCTAGTTGCGCAGCTTCTTCCAACACCTGCAACGCCGCCATTGCGATGAACAAGATGGTAGGCAATTAGATCCCACCCTGCAGCCACGTAGGGTAGTGTGTTCTCTTCAAATTGCTGACCCGACTGTCATGACAGACAACGTGCTCATGTTTTGTTGTACAATAATAATAGATAATAACTTTGTCTGTCCGACGTGATTTCCGAGTATTGGTTACAAACTGCAGAGTCAATCTGGTCAATGAAACGAATGACAGTTGCTGAACGCTTGTGAGGTGGAACAAACGCGCTGAAGTGTGCACCACTCCACGGAGCCTCAAGGTATTTTACTTACTTCTTTCAATCCCTATTCGTTCTGGCAATACTGTCCCGCAGCATCCAAAGGGTAGCGATCGTGTACGGAAAACAAAACGCGAAGAGAGTGTGGTAGCAGGCGGTACGAATCGTCCGGAAGGCTGTAAAGCTGGAGTTAAACAATAAAAATATCAAAAGTTAGGAAGTCCTCCCAAAAGACAAGATACCACACCTCTACTAAAGAAGGTGTGCGATACAAACAACAGAAAAAAAAAACTCCAACCACAAAAGCAGTCGTCGGGCAGTTCAAAGCGTTTCATCCTTTCAGGCTAGATCGTCGTTGTTGATCATGGTTCCCCAGCACAATGACCAGGTCGGGAAATGGGCAGATGTGTTGGTTGGATGTTGGCTTGGCAGGGCAAGATGAATTTTATTGATGAACTACTGGTACAGCCTACAGGAACGTATCTTTCACCAGCAAACTTCACCCTTCACCCTAGCACTCCACGGGACGCTAGGATCTGGGGGGAGGAGATGGAGGATCAACACAGCCATCACATCTCTCACCCGGCCAGGGTCTCAAAATAGCCCTCACTCAGCAGTAACTACAGTGTTGTTTTTCTCAGGTATGTACTGTAATAAAACATTAAATAAAAAAAAGGGGGTTTCTAGTAGACTTCTAGAGGTACATTTATACATATATACCTTATACCTCCTACATGTACCTTACCTTATCTTTGCATCCGCAAGTAACTTCCTTTCGCATACATATCCTCTCATCATAATGACACCTCCTATCTCTCTCTTTCCCCCCTCTCTCTCTCGACGCACGCAAAAAAAGTCAAATCCACCGGCCTGAATGCTCTCCGGAAAGTCCGCTGTGGTACAGCTTTCCCAGCTCCTTTTGTCTCTGGGAGACCGTAAAGTTCGCAAAGCCTGAGTTGGAATAACGTCAGCAAGATGAGATCTAGGTATGGGTTGCCCTATATGCATGAATAAATGAAGAGAACTACATGTATACATATATACAGTATACTTGTACATATACCCCGTCTTCCTTCCCGACGGAGGAACATCCTCCCCCCCCCCCGCCCCCCC